GCAATATGGGATCGAGATACATACAATCCGATCTAAAGGAATCCCGTTTATCATTCCCTGATCTAGATTAGCGTTGAAGCTTCACAATGACAAATATCTTTATTTGGCAAGCCAATCAGTGTGTGCGGAAGCATGATCGGAGCAGTGGTTCGTCACGTCATGTGTGGCTCAGGGGTTCGTGCTTTTACTTCCCCCGCCCTCTTCCCAATCGATCTCTTTGGTTGCTTGGTTCGCATATTCCGTCACGAAAACAAGCTAGGTTTTTTTTTTTGCAAGGTACCGAACTTTCCTTTGTATGACGGATAGGTAAGAGTCGCATTCATCCGATCGGATAACCCCCCTCGCGCCCCATTACTTACTTTACTGTCTTCCTCTTCAAACTCGACCATGTTCAACGGTTGCCCCAACTCGTGGCGTTCTCCTGAAGTCTTATCAATTTTGTGACCTATCCGCAGCTTCAGCTGCCTAGTCGATGCCTTAAAGAATAGTTATGCGGACCTATCCTAGTTGTATCGGGCCGGATCTATAGAACTTTGTCGTCGGATGACAGCTTAGTGACAGGTTTTACCCACCTCTTCATCGGTAAAGTGGCAGGTCCGAGGATTACGCAACGACTATAGAGAGAGAGAGAGAGAGAGAGAGAGAGAGAGTGGGGGATGATCATCCGCTGCTCTGTGCCGCAAATCCGTAAAACAAACGACACGGACGGTCCTTCGCATTGGGTAAAGGGTCAACGACGATCTCACTTCACGGAGAATTTCTCGCTGGTTGCAGTTGCACCCGCCCTAAACAGTTTACCGAAATAAGGCTGGGGAAAGAAGGAATACTGGTGGGGGGGAGGGAAGGGAGGCGAGGATCTGAAACTACGCGAACCGGAGAAGAGCAACGATCGCTCTTTTTTTTTGCTTTGCCGACTGGACTAACTACCTCATGATTACTCACTCACTCTATCATGGTCGGTTCCATGAACAATCATGATGATGATAATACTGCACGATGATCTGGATAAGATCGACTCAGCCTATCCACCCACCCTTTCTCCTCTTCTTTCCCACGCCGGTTCCACGGCCAAAGATGGCTTCGATTCCCAGGTTTCGATCTATTTAGATCGGCCAATCGCAACTGTGCCAAATCTCGATCGAAGAACACTTTGTTTATAGGACCCATCATCGTTGCTCAAGATGCTGAGAAGCGAGGTGCTAGTTGACTTTAGCTTCTTAGTCCCGTCAGTATGACAGCGGGAACAGGTGCCGCCGCATGAATTAGCAAGCCCTTCCGGTGCGTAGGCGACATCTCCTGAATGGCTGGCCGGTGGTACTTTCCATCCTCCGTGACAGATTTCAAATCTTCCGGCTTCCCCGGACGATCTCACTCCCCGTATATTAGTCGCCGGTCTATGCTCCTTCAGCGGTGGCCGATAGTGAGTGGGAATAGGGTAGTATTCCTAAAAATCCCCTGTGCTGGGGGGAGAGGGGGGCGGCGCGTACGTAAGTCCTTCATTCCAAGTTGCAGAGTCGACTAAGGCTAGTCTTGCAGCCCTCAGGAGCCAACCGATCTGGAGGTGAACATGTCTGCCACATAGGATCAGCGAGGGCCCCAAAAAGGGAAATCCTGGATTGTTCGATGAGATCTATCATCCTTCTACTGCATATCCGATCCAAGCGAACATGTCCGAGAAGCTAATGGAACCGGAAAAAAGAACCCTGCAGCAAAACGTGACTCAGAACCCTGGACCTGGCCCGCTGATTGGACCGAAGCCGCCGGAAATATTGGTTTTGGGTGGTTTATTTTGAGATTCGGTGGTGGCTTCGTCGACATCGTAGGAAGCCCACTTCTCCCCTCCTCTCCATCGAGTGTGCCCCTGAATGGGGACATTTGGCGGTGCTCGAACCTCGCGGCTAAAGTGTGCAATGCACCTGCATCGGAAAAGAAATCCACTGACGATAGTGTGATGAACCAAAAAGGAAAAAAAAAAAAAAATTATCACAGCAGCAGCAATAGCCAAACAATAGAACAATGATGAACCAAAGGAATTGGATTGTCTGTCCCATGTGTTTGGGCTCGGGACCCGGATCGAGAAGCTTACTGGCAGCTGTGCGTGATGAGCAGCGGACACACCGTTGAAACCAGGGGTAAGCGGCAGGCAGGCATAACCCACCCCATAGCCTACTGGGTATAGGTTACCAAGTACCTGGTTGAGCCAGGACGGGCGGAGGGTTAGTGAGTGTGTTAGTTCGTTCGTTATGTCAAATATGACTAAGGATTGTGGATGGTTGCTGGCTTATGCCATGCCATGGCTGGCAGGCGATGGTCCCGAGCACCCGTCCCAGCAAATCGAGATTGTGTGCGATCTGGTCGTCGATCCCAGCCCAATTAAGTATAAGACCAAATCAAAAGATTCCAAATTGCCTGAGGGGTAATCTGCGCCAATCATCGAGCCCCACTCAAACCGTTCATGTTCTGGATAACGGTCCACGGGGCCGTGGAGAGGATCAAGGCCGGAGCGGGAGAGTGTCACAAAGCCCCAATGGATTGGGACGAAGCTCAAGGCGAGTCCCAAAGGAGGAGGGGAGGGTATTAAACTGGCGGAATTCGATCATTACCTTACTCTTTAATCTGCTGATGGCTGGCTGAGCTCAAGCTGGGGCGCTCTCGTCCTGGCCAGGCAGGGTTCTTCATTCCCCAATCCAGTAATAATGCAACTTCCAATTCTACCGTGGTATTGATGTGTAATGTCATGTCTTGTCCCTTTTGCAACCGCCCATGAATTCCTCACAGAAAGGCTTCTATGATCTATCACTCGTCGACGACCGAGCGATCATGGCAACCTCCTCATGGTGATTCTCCTTCACTCATTCCTCATGCATGCCCCGATCTGTCACTGCCCAAATTCAGTAGTGCGGTGGATCCCTCCTGATTCTGTTTCTTCGGTTTCCTGTTTCTTTGGCCTAGATTAGCCCTGAATGAGCTCGCGCGGCCATGATGTCGGCGCAGCAGCTCAACACCATCATCCATCATGCGGGCGGAAGGAGACATCGCAGGACGCAACGATGGTTTTGGATTCCCTTCCCTCGGTTTATTTTTACCTACTTCCCTGTTCCCTGTCAGCCCTCCTTCTTCCACCTCCCCCCCCCCCCCCTTCCTATCCCTGCTCCTCTCGAGTCGTTTGTTATCATGGTCCCCGAAGGAGCCCGCCCCACAGAATCCATGAAGTGCATTCGACCTGTATGACCTCTCTCCCTCGCATTTACCTACATTTGGCCGTTTTTGCCGCTCCCGTTACTCCTGTCAGGGCCTGAACTTAAGGCAAGCGTGGGATAGATCGCTTAGAGAGGCAAAAGGGCCATTAGGTAATTCTTAGGCTTGTACCTACTTAATATAAATTTTGATGTTTACAAGCATGCTGCCAAAGTAGAGAAACGCAAGATATCAAGCTATCGTCAGCATGGGGTCCTTGTCTTGCTGGGAAAGCGATCATATCAAGTGCTAATAAACTAAGCTACCTTCAGGCGCGGCGTTCTCAGAATCTGGGCGCTATCGCAAAAGGAGAGGTGTGCGAGAGACAGGGCATGTGCGCTAGATGGAATCACTTCATCACCCTGGAACTTATAGAACTAGTGAAGATCATATTACCAGGGTGTTCCATGCGAGTAAGCGCCCCAGGACAGATTCCTCGCAGCGAGGCATTTCAAATAGACAGTCTTCAATGCCCCGGGTGATTGCTCCCTTACTAAAGTGGCACCTCGAATTGACCAGGTTAGCCTTGCCCCAGATATGACCGACAAAATTGATTGGTTTCCCCTGGACGTCTCAGGCGGTCTCTGTCTCTTACACAATGAGTCGGTCGCTCAACGATGGAACCTCAGCAGCGCAACAGAGAGGGAAACAAAACAGAAAACACAAAAAAGCAAAGATGAAAATAGAACGAAAGCTGCATCTGTGCCTCACTCGGGCCAGCGACTGGCACCGCAACTATCCCTGCTGCAACACCGATCCTGTGGTAAAGCCCGTCAGTGTCCGGGATAGTGGCAAATCTTTCCCCACGACCTAGAAACGCCAGCTGCAGCAGCTGATAGCTGCCTTGCTTGCTTTTTCAGCCGCGTGGTTGTTTCGCTTCCCTGTCAATGATGGGTCTGATTTTACCCAAAGGAGATACTGCAGGAAGTGTCCGTCTCCACGCTGGATTAAGGAGGAGATCGGTTGAGCCCATGTCATTCTGGTAATCTGATCGCTTCGTTATGGTTGTGGTTAGGTAAGTGCTTGAAGAAATTTGATTAGATGTTCGATTTGACAAAGAAACAACATCTTTAGGTAGAGTACAGTACGTATTCAACAATCGATCCCGCTAGCCTCTTGGGTAGCTCTGTGCCTTAGCAGGAGCTCTGCCTTCTTGGGTGGTGTGGTACGGTTTAGTGTCAGTCGGGTAGGGTAGCGTATTTTACCCCTATACGGAGGGTACATACTGTACCATACATACTAGTCGTACATCAGGGTAAGGAAAAAGGGAAAATAAAAAAAAAATCAAGCCAAGCTCGAAAATAATAACCGCTTTTATTTTTCTCTGATAGTGATTTCTTTTAAATTATTCCTCCGACAACTGTCAGCTCCGAGATCTTGGATCAGATCTTCTCCTATAGCGTGCTGTAGGTGTGGAGCAGTAACCCATTTTTCTCTGACCCGTCTCCCTGGACATTGTATCCTTCTGTTGCTGCTTGTTGCTATAATAGAAGATCGTAACCTTTCCATCTGCATCCCTCCTTTACCTGACTATTGTCAATCGTCCTTGTCAACATCTTTAAAATCCCTTCGAGTCTCACCTCTCGGTCTATATCTATCATCCCAGGGACGCTCCTTCGAACCTTATTCTCTTCAACAAACCACTTCATTCCGACCAACTACCTTCTGCACCTTCTTCTGCATTACCCAGCTGCTTGGGTCTTTGGTCATTACTTACTCCTTACCTACCTTTCAACTGTCCACCTGCTATCATAAGTTGCCTTTGTGCTCTCAGCTACCACTGTACTTCCACTCCCGAGCCAACCAACCCCACGGTAAGAAGCCCTTTCCTATTTCCCTCTTCAGCCTTTCCCCGCCCCCCCCCCATGCCGGTCCGCTTTCTTTCTTCAACAATCGCTTGAGTCCACTTGAGTTGTCTTCAACTACCGAAAATCATAAATTATTCCCCGATCACCCAGTATATCAGAAGTCTAATCTCAACTCTACAGTAACTCAAATTGAATCTTGTTCTCATCTCCGATTCAGTCGACCCTTGCAGTTTCATTCACAAAATGGCTCCTACTCATCGTCGTGGACCTTGGGTGCCTGAGGAAGACCAGTTGCTACTCCAGTTGGTTCGTGAACAAGGCCCCAACAACTGGGTCCGTATCTCTCAACACATGCACTACCGCTCTCCGAAGCAATGTCGGGAGCGATTCCACCAAAACCTGAAGCCCTCACTGAACCGCGAGCCTATCTCCGCTGAAGAAGGCTTGATGATCGAGCGCATGGTGAACGAGATGGGCAAGCGGTGGGCTGAGATTGCACGACGCTTGGGGAACCGTAGCGACAATGCCGTCAAGAATTGGTGGAATGGCAGCATGAACCGCAAGAGGAGAGGCCTCCCCACCCCCGGCTCTCCCCACTCCGGACGCACTTTTCACGGACGCATCGAAGCCCCCTATGGGCGGGCTTCTCTAGCATTGAGCAGCCCTGTCAGCCGATCCCGTTACTCCTCCATCTCCAGTGAGAGACCGATGACCTCTTGGACCAAATCCTCCGCCTCCCGCCGCGAATCTTCCTCAGCATCCTCCATGGACTGCTCGCGGCAGTTGACGCCCATCTTCACCCTTCCCGCCCTCAATCGCCCAGTGGAGACGCCTCTGACTTCGCCCACGTACTCAGAGGCCCCATCAATGGAGCCACCATCGATGGTTTCGGACCACAACTCTGTCTCTTCGTCGCCTAGAACCATCGCTTCACCTCAATCGCTTCCTCTGCCGGTGGACATCAGACATCTCTATGGCGACGCTCGCCGACAAAGCGCAGCCTCTCTGCTGGCGACGGACGAAAGCTATCTTACCAATCCTTACTATGGACCAAAGACCCTCGAACCCGTTTCAGACCTGTCCTTCAAGCAACGATGGATCTCCGATTACCAGCCGTGGACCCGCCGTTCTTCGTTATCGCCTACCTGGTCTGTCGCGTCGGAAGATAAGACCAGTTCGCCGCGCGATTCCCGCATGGGTCTTCAAAACCTTCTCAATTAATTAATGATGGTCCTTTTGTTGTTTTACTGAGAACGATCGCACGACTTCTTGTTTTCTTTACCCTGAATCTCCAGCCAATTCTCTGTACATTTGTGAACCCGACTGACCCCCTGTCACTCTTTTCTGCATCGTTCTTTCCTTTGTATCTATACCATGTACATGGTTGTTTTCTCATGGTTCGGGCTATATCCACGGCGGGTCACGTGGCAAGCGACCGGACCGGTTTCCTTACGGTGCGTAAAAAGTGGTCGGGAAAACTCTTGTTTTCGTTGTCATTCTTGTGCCTTTCTTTGTTTCTCCTCTCCTTTGTTACTGATGACTTGATATCTGCTGTGAGGGTTTCTGGGTATAGAGCGGACCACCGAGTCGATGAATGTTTTGTATATGTTGGATTTGGTTCTTTCGGCCATATTGTGAGCTTGGACTTAATAATACCCCATGATTGTTGATTGTTACATTGTTTTGTTACCCGCAGGAAGAGCATTAGTTATTATCACACATCTAATAATACCTTTAATATCCTCTTTCATCCTTACTACTTACATAACCACTCAGAGTATCGCGTATCCTCGGATGATTTTGCCCGAACTGGTTCACGAGAAGTGCCCTGGACCGTTGCGAGTTTGAAAAAGAAGCAGACTCGAGCGAATAGGAAGGGGGCGAATCCCAGTTCCCGCGACACAGCTTGTCCATCATGGTGGCTGGCTGTCATCAGCCCATACTCGCCAGTCAACGGCTCTGGGCTCACGAGATTACGCGCAAGGGGCGGCGCTGAACTTACGAGGAGGCAAAACGACCGGATAGAGACACGAACGAGTTGGAGCAAAATGGGCCGAGTAACCCCGGCATTTCGCAGTCTGGATCGCAAAACGCGAAACATGAAAATAGAAAACAAAAAAAAGGTAAGAGAGGGTAGAGAGAGCGAAAGAAAGGTGTACACCCACCCACCCCCCATAGTCTTCAGTACACGCGAGGCCTTTCGCAAGGAGCTGAGAATCGATAGGTCCATCGAGAACGCAGCTGACGGCCTCCCAGAGCCAGTCCTCCCCCCTCGTCCAACTGGGGTCGATAGGCACCCGGGCATATCTGGATGGATGGGTGGTTCATGCATGACTGGACTGCCAATGTCATCAGGGAGTGGTCCTAATGGCCGGATGCCCACCCGCTTTTCCAGTTGCAGAGTGGGTTTGGTTGGCCCCAGTCAGGATGCTCGGGGAGGTAAGGTTGATACCCAGGGAAAGTTTATTCAGGGACTGGCCGATGGTGATTGACCTGAAGAAAGGCTTGAATGATTCGCCAGTGCCCCTCCCTCCATCCCCTTCTCTCTCGCTCTCTCTGCGGATTTTGCAGCTTTCGTTAACGGTTTAGGGGAGAGGGATCATCAGCCTGGGTTTCTCTCTGCGCTGAACCTTGATCGGATGGAGCGAACCGCAGACTTGTCTTCCAGTGATTCCCCAGTGGCTTGCATGAGATCCTATTTTCCACAATCAGCCTTGAAAGGCATTTCTAGCGGGCCACGTTAACTTTACTGCCGTTCCCTCTGTCTCGGCTCGAGAACGTCTCAACCGTCAAATCCCTGTCTCGGTGGAGCCATCGCATGGCAGAAGAACAAGACGAGGGAGGGGGAAGGGGAAGAATAGGCAAAGGAATCCATCCCGCCACAGGAATGCCTCTTCGCGCTCTCATGTGCCACCACCACTTGGGCTGGGTCCAGCCAGTAGCGTGCCCTCTTTAACCCCATCTGGATACGGTCTTGATGGATCATGGTTGGGTGGATGGATTGGAAGACATGGCTCCCTACCTGATTTGGCTGGTTCGCCACTACACTATGAAGAGTTACAGAAAGCTACATCCAGCATTGAGGCACACACACACACACACACACACACACACACATGCTGACTGCATACTAAATCAAGGAATCACCATGCCTGACTCATGAATGTCTAGACTTTTATCATCGCCCACGCTTTACCCCTCCTCCTGCTCCTCCTCCTTCCTCCAAGCGGGGAAAAGCGGGAATTTGGCTATGTTTACTATAGATCCCGAAATCGTAACTACAATCTGCATAGAACATCCTCGTTTTCGTTCGCTGTGTATTCGTTTCATCCAACCCGGCAGCCTATGTAGACGTGGACTGTGCATCCTTGAGAGTGGGGAGAGGAGGGACGACCCTTTGATAGAAAGTCTATTTATACTTACTCCTACTATACATCAACAGCAACACCATGAGGGCTTTCAAGACACCCACCGTTTCGAATTCTCCGCTTGCAGCGTCTTCCGGGCTTCGGTTCTTTAAAAATCTACTGGGAATGATCTACGATATCCCGGCCCCCGCTTCGATTCGCCGAAGTTTGTCTTTTAGTCTGGGCCGATATCGAATGGCCTCGCTCTCTCTTTTTTTTTTTTTTTATATTTTTTTTTACCCCCACGGTGTGTACGCATGACCATGCGTAGATGTTCGTTATATGTATCTGGTTGAGTCCTTGATTGTTACACGGGGTGTTCGTACCCATGTATGGGTTTACATAAGTGGGTGAGTATACATAAATCCCGGGGGTTGTATAGTAACATAGTCGTTACACAATCAGTTAAAGCATTGGGATGAGGGAACGATGGTGGAGCAACATGAGGAGCAGGAGGAAGAGAGGGGGGTTAGTCGGAGTGGGGAGGAGAGTGGTGAAAGGCCCCAAGGCGATCGATGATGGATATCGTTCTTTGGACTCGTGAGTACTAAGTGGGATGCTTTCCCTGTTTCAACGGACAGGGACAATTATAGAACGAAACGATGGCTATTTTGCTCATCAACATCCTTCTTTCGAGTCATCTCCTTGAATCATACACTTATGTCATAGTGATAACTACTTTGCACTTTATAACAACAACAAGCCCTAGGATTACATACAAACATACATACATACAATCAGTGTGCCAAAGGCCGATCTACGTAGTCTAGAGCCTGGACAGCCAAGAGATTGAATCTTCCTGCGCGAATCCCACGCCGATCCTCACGGTTACAATTGATTTGGAATTCTCCCCTCGTTAGCGCCGCGCTTTCCCCCTTTCGGATATGTGATTCTTCGCTGCACTGCCCAACGTGACGTATTTCCAAGTTCCGGGTTCTTGAACCCCGACTGGGCATAAGATAAACTAGTTCCGAAGGAGGGGACCGGGGCGTTCGTTATCGTTGACTATCCACAACTTTCTCCCTGCGCTTTTCAATGGTGGGAAACTAGGAAAAATGAAAATAGTGGCCAGAAGAGAAAGCTTGCCAGTGGAGAGAAAGCCGTTACACACGGGTTTCTTGTCTCCGTTCTTTGATGGATGTCATGGAACCTGACAGGGAATCATCGACCTTCTTCCCCAAACCTCCTTGTTTTGTCACGAGTCGACTCGAAATAGTCTATATGATGACAATAAAATCAAGGGACAGCTGTGCTGGCTGATTCGATCATTAATCTAACTGTGGAAGGCATTATTGAATTTTAGATTGCCCAATTAATCTATTTAAATTGCCCTAGACATGATCGAAGCTCAGCCTGACAGCTGAAACTATACCCACACTGTTGGGAAAACTGAAATTAGATTCGAGAAAGCCACAAGCTTGGCCTTTTCAGCTTCTGTTTGAGGTTGTGGTGGCATGACTTAGGTATCTTGACTGATTAGCAGTCATATACATGAAGTACTTAGTACGGAGTAGTTAGTAGCGAGATCTGGTTCACGAGCTGATTATCTGAAACACCCAGAATGTTCCCTCAAATCCGATCCACAAAAAAAAAAAAAAAAAAAAAAGAGAGAAAACTAATCTGTCCCAAACAACCGAGAACCCGCAGCCTTTTTTTAAAATGCCCCAAGACTTTTTCATCCCAACAAACACGATCTGCTCTTGGTCTTCTGTGGTGGGTTTTAATCTATTTTATGTGGGGATCTAGTGCCCTTACGTAGATTGGGCAGAGGATTTAATCATTCAAGAGAGCGCGCGAGAGAGCGTTGAGGCTGGCGTCTGATCGTCAACTATATGCGGGAGGGGGGGCTTCGCTTTGTTCCAGGTTGATTATCAGGGACCGTAAATTGATTGTGATCATTTAATATTTTTTATAATTCATGTAATTCCTTCCTTCCTTCCTTCCTCCCTCCCTTCCTTTCAAGCATAGGAAATAAGCCACCCCCATATCAAAGCTACTGCCTACCAAGTGCACCCTGCCCATTAATCTAGCTAGCTGCCTAATCTGCCCGTTCCGACAAGAATAATAGACTGGTATTATGTTCATCCCCATCCATCCATCCCATTTCCTTCCAAGCAAGAAACCCTGATCTAGAACGTCCAAAAGATTTAGATAGGAAGCATTTTGGGGGCCGGAATCTCTCATTGCTAGTCAGTATACGTACCACCTTGGATAAGGTCAATGCCTGCGACCAACATTTCTGAAACGGCAGCAGGTCTTTAAATAGCTTAGATAATTGCCCGGTTGCTTTAAACGGGAGGGTTCCAAGTGGCACTTACCGCGTGCACAACAGCCGGAGAACACAAGCACACACTCTCTACTCAACTTCGTCCATGCTTAGTTGTGGGTTATCAAGTGTGTAACTCAATTCAGCCCGCCAGCCAAACGGTGTTGCGGAGCCCGAATACCATTCTCAATGGTTTCTGAAGTTTATTGTGTGGGTTGGATTCGCCGTCTGGTCCCGACCGTACTGGTCTGCCTCCATCTTCATGGACTCATACTCCAGTAATGATCTCTCGATGGTCCTAGCTTGACCGCCGCCCCAAACCGTTGTGTTCTCTGGGTTGGCAAACGAGTCAGCGACCGAACCCAGAACCAAGGATTGGAAACTAGTTTCCGATGTGAAACGCCCGCGTCAAATCTGCTTTGGACTGGAAAAAGGGAGCTCAAAGCAACAGCTTCCTGGGAGCTTGGCCGGATTATCCGGGCTGTGGGAAAATCTGGAGTGGTGATGGTCTGTTTTTGGGTCGGAATCGGATCTCGCCATCTTTTTTAGTTCGAACTGACTTGCTCAAACCGAGCACTTGGCCTGAGGCCCGGGCGGTGCCCTGGTCCTGGGGAGGAACTACGTATTCAACTGTTTGCTTTTGCTTTTGCTAGGATCCCATCCTTCTTCGCTCATTATTTTCCGCTTTCGGATGACCATCTTGAAGTCGGAATGCGTATGGAGTTCGCATATTTCTACAGATCATCCGCATGGCTTCTACAGCCTCTGTCAGTGGCTGTTTTTCTCTTTATTCTATTTGCAATTCAAGTCAGTGGTTTGTTCATGCCCCTTAGATCGTACTTCGACGAGTTAAGTCATCGGCTTTTGGAGCATCATCAATCCAATAAGCAAAGCACTGGGTGTGGGTCCTCCCTTTCCGGCTCTACTTTGTTGCTACTCACTAAGTGATACTATCCCTTCCCTTTTCGATCTTGTCTCACCAAGCTCAATAGTCCATAATAGTGGCTGATATTATGATGATGAAGAGGAGAAGAAATGATGATAATGATGTTGACGATGACGATGTTGATACGGGGGACATCCTAGTTCGAAGGAGGTTTATCAGTCATCGTCATCATCCTGGTTGGTTCCTGTTCGCCCCTCGTCTGCTTTTCCCCTTCCGAACATACTTAGTATCTGATTTTCTCGTGACCTTGAAACTCTGATTGTTCTATGCAATTATTGCAAACTTCTGTCAAAGTCTAATGTGAAGCTCGTCTCGAGGGAGAAAGAAGTGGAAAGAAGCCGAAAGGGTAACCTTGTTTGTTTCTTTTTTCCTCTTATTGACGGACAGGCGGTAGTACCATAGCGTCGGGTACATCCGATTGACGATTAACCACCTACCCGTAAGAGATATCGAATCCAACAATTGGACCTCGTTTAAGAAACGCCTTTTGATGTTTGTTTGGGACTTTGGAGGGTCTTGGTAAAGGCAAATTTGGTACCTCCTGAGTGGGGTGTGTGATGTCTGGTTCCCGGTACCTTTTTCCTCCCCGACGAACCTGAACGAAGCTCTCTCTCTCTCTCTCTCTCTCTTTCTCTCTCTCTTTCTCTCTCTCTTTCTCTCTCTCTCTTCTGGAGCAAGCAAGCCGCGACTGGCCCCCTTCTCTCCCCCTCTCCGCGGTCCCGCACTAATAGGCCAAGTACTTATCAATCAATTAATCATCTATCAGGATAGGAATTAAAGATAAATTAAAGAGACCTCTTGCATATACCTCATCGAGCATAGTCACTGGGTGCGCCGCCCCGTTTGAGTAATAACCTCTCCAGATTTCCGATCCATTTCATTCGCCGCCAATATCACTTAGTATCTGCTGTGATCGGGATTTTAATTAATCGAAATCGTGGGCCGGTCGGCGCCCCTCTTTACTTAGCCCTTAGCAAGGTAAGTTCCTCCACTTCCTCTCTCGCTTCCCCTTCCGTCGGAGAATCGTGAGTGACGCCGCGGGAACCAGACAAAGTGTATGTACATACAGTAAGATGGGAAATTTTATGTATGTATTAGTATCTGCACAATTCTGACATTTCCTGTGTGTAATGTGCGACAGTCTGGTAAGCTTTAGTGGTATCAGAATTTATTTATTCTACTAAGTATAAAGTTATCATGACAGTCAGCGGCGTCCCCATCCCCCTGAACAACCTTAAATTCAGGGATTAGATGTGTTGTTGTTGTTGTTGTTGTTGTTGTTGCATATTGGTCTGGGGGGGAGAAAGGGGGTTCTACAGCTGCTGTTGTAATCTTCTCCGCTTTGTTGTCCAAGGCGGAGAAGATATTTATGCGATGCGTTGAGGAGGAACTGTGACGCATTGCAGACCACGGCTCTTCCAATAACCCAGATCTAACTATCGTCCCCGTTTTCCATCGTCTGTCCGCTCGTTCCGAACAGACCCAAATCTCGAGAGAATTAGAGACATCAGATTCCTGATTCATAGCTAGCTAGCTAGCTAGCTAGTCTACCTACCCAATCCCTAATTCTCTAACCCAGAGTCGGTATGGAAGTTCTCCGGACCTCCGTTCCTCGCAGGCCGTACTTCATTCCACTTTGACCCACCCCCCTGGAAAAAAAGAGTGAGAGAGAGCAAAAAGGCTGGAACCGGTGGATCCTCCCATGCTGGGCTGGGGCTGGAGCTGGAGCTGGCTGGCTGGCTGGCTGGCTAGCTGACTGGGGTGCGGTGCATTAGGTGGTGGAAGTGTGAAGTGAAGGGGGGAGCCTGGCTTTTGATGGGATGGGTTTAGCGCCGCCCACCTGAGCAATTCTGATCGATGCCAGCAATGGAACCCAGCACGACGTTGAGATCAGACTGAATCCACAACTCTCATTGGCCCTCGGAGCATCTCGGTGTGCACGATGATCGACCTTGCTGGTTTAGGATTAGAGTACCCGCCTTGCCGGTCCGCCCGTGATCGGCAGCAATTTTTTGGAATTGTGACCTTATGCGGATATGGATACGGAGACGGAGACGAAGGAAACCCGCCATTACCGTCTGTACTGGTTTTGTCCTTTCCGCTGCTCCGAAACCACTAGTGTTACTGTATGTATACTGTCATCAACTCCATACCTTGGGTATCGTGAGATAATACACCTACTGTACTTCTCCTGCAAGCCAATTGACCTACTAACTGTATGTACAAGTGTAGCTAGTCAATGTCTTTCATTCCTTTCCTTTCTCAGTCACCCTGTCGGAAAAGAAAAAAGCAATAACTGAATCGGATCTTCAGAACAACATCTCTCTTCCCAGATCTATCCTCCCACTTTCTCAACAAGCCAATCTCGACCACTGTCTCCCGTGTATGTGCACGGCGCAGAGAGACCCAAGCGACCGGCGCCCGGCACGAACCAATTACCCAATGCGGAGAAAATCAGCGAGAAAGATAAAAAAAGGCCTATGGGTAGCCGAAATAGGAATCTGTCAAGGAAGGAAGGGTAAAGGTTGCGAGCATGGATGCAGTGCAGTCCGTAGGAGGTGTGTGAGTGGGACTGCCTGTCTTGGTAATTCCAATTCCAGATTCCACTTCTACACTGAGTAACAGCCATTACACCACCTAAACTTCAGCTTCCGGTTACCTGATACATGTACAGACAGTACCAGAACAGCAAGCCATACCGAAGCCAGACAAGTACTGTACAAGACCACTAGCCTCCTTCCTTTTCCCACTTCTCCCCCCCTCTCCCCTCTCAGGAAGAGAGGGCCAAAGCACAAACTGTCCAGGCGCAAGGGGTTCTTGCAAGAATGACCTTTTTCCCACGTGGACTCGTCAGATACGGGCCGTTGCGGAAGGTTTTCGGTATTCGTTCTCGGGGGTTGTGTGTGTCGGCGTGTGTTGTGCGCTGTGTGCTTGTATTTTCTGTTATGTATTGAATAGGAGTTTTCTACCTACTCCCCTTTGCTGTACTGCACTTTTGTCTTTGGTTCTGTGCAGTATATGATGCTCCTGTGCCTTATCGGTGACAGGACCTGACGTCCAACGTGCAACTGTCTGCCAATTCCAGCAGTAAAGCTCAAGTCAACTGAGCTGTGAATCACTCCACTGATATGATACTCATGACTGACCAGACCCAGTCACATCCGTACCAATTCGTACTCGTGCACTCCGCTCTGTCCTACCTAGGCTAGTGTTTAGGGAGGGGGGAAGGCAGTGGTTCAGTCACGGGGGAGTTTGGTTTTTGCTGCTACTGCTGCAACGCCACCACAAAAAGCAACAACAAGAAGGAATGACACTCAGCTTTCCAGTCTTTTGTTCATCCAAGTCTTGGGCCCCAATCGATCGGAGGGGCCGAATGGATTCGTACATCATTCTCTATTTCCTCTCCTTTTTGCCTTGGTTACGGTAACTAGTCATACACTGGTTTCGATTTTCGTTGCCTGTACTGTACTTTGGTGCTAATGGGCTTCTCTTCCGAGCTTAACCCGGGTATATTCCATGACTCGCGTTTCACAAATCATGCCAGGGGGAGTTGGTTAGATGAACAAGTTAGTTGTTGTAGACAAAAAAAAAGCAGCAAGTAAGTACTATGCAAGAGAGAAGAAGGGGAGGCCATTGTTGTTCTTTCAATGGGGCCAGCTATTGTTCAGTAGCTTTCTTCTGTGATCGATCTCTGCACTGCACATATTAGATTTCACTCTTACCCTACTGTCCTGTCTAGTATAGTAGTCTGCCCAGGAATCAGTCAGGGTGTATTGAATCCTTCAGATAGGTGCTGATGGTAGCTTGACCCCGAACTGGCAGGTGATACAATTGATCTACTTAGTTAGGTATGCTGTTCTTGACTCCGTTTTTAGAGCGATATGGCCCTCCCATCCCCCCCTTCCCCCCCATCCCCACTTCCCCAATCCACGGGATAAGTATAGACGAAACACATGGAAGTTACAGCCCTGCACCTTCGCTTTAGCCATCTATTTTGCACCCCAATATGAGCGACATGCGAGTCACCCCTGACGAGGATTCCTGGAAACACCGGAGGAAGCAAGATAGGATGGATGGAGTTCGTGGGTGATAATAATAGTATCTGTCTCTTGCTCGTTGTACCACACAGGAAAGAGATATGCACGGCGCGACCTGTTCGTCCTGTGCTGACTTGACTGGACCCAGTTCTCTTATCCATGATGCACGCGCAAAAGCAAAATCCTTGCTCGTAAGGATGGCGAGAGGGGAAGGATGTGAAGGGGGGTGGGGGGGTTCGAATTGGGTCGCAACTGATCCACCGGCCAAAAGTCGTGCAGAGCGTAAAGAAGAAAAGAAATCAATGAGCTTCTACAGTACAATGTCTGTACCGCTATTGATTGGTATCGTAGGCAGAGCGACTGGAACCCTGCACGATCACATCACCTACCCTGCGCTATGTAGCTGGTAGGACGGTCATCGACTACTAAGCAAGTACGCTGCATGGCTGAGGATCGCATCGTACTTTCAGCCTGTATGCACTTGCACACGTATGTATGAGGCTATCGTAATCCGGATTGCTCAGTCTCGGAGCTTTCCTTGGTCATTACACCAGCTAAGATACCACCCATCTTCCCCCCGTGAGTATCCTGAGGCTATGATATTTCGATAACCTGGGATCACTATCCACGATTAGGGAACCCCTCTCCCTCTGGTCTTTCGCTTATCCTCTGTTCTTTCAAAGAATGAGCTCACTTTGCCCATGTTCAGAATGAGCATGGACTGCAATTCCAGGACAAAACACCGACTATCAGGTATGCCTGGCGGTATCCCATCAACTCACTGCTTGCGATCCTGGGAGTGGTGGGGAGGAGCACTTGATTTCGGTGACCTTTCTCTTTCGCTGTCTCATCTAGGCTTGGATCTGTGGGATCCTTCTTTAAAGGTATCGGCTTTCTTACTCGTGTGCTTGGACCTTGAGTTCGGTACTGGCTGGTGTCTCGGCTTTCCTGGTCGATTCTGATACCCCCTTCCTGCTCCTCCCCTTAGATACCAACTTGGAATACATGCATCATTTGTACACTTGAAAGCGTAATAAGTTAATAGGAGCATGAGGAAAAGCAGAATGACCTAGTGAAGGACAGATATGTTGGGAGTTGCGGTTCGATGATCGCTCCGCCATCCAGCTTCATACTGGACATGCATAGAGATCTGCAAAACGCCCGAGGGAGGTTGAGGTATTGCAATGTCCTTTTAGAGAGACAGTGATGCTTGCCTTGTGAGGCTATTGTGCTGCTGCTGCTACATCAGCAAGTGTCACTAGATGAGCCAGTGCCTGAGGTTTTCAGTCCCAGCCAGCCGGGCACTCCCTTCTTCCTCTGGTTGTTCGTCCCCCTTGCTTTCGGTTTACATTCGTAGTTTTATCGGTTGAGTTTGTACAAATTCTGCTGATTTGGATCGTGATCCTATCCGATAAGTCTCGCCTATCTCGAACTGAATGCTGGATTGCAGATAATCATACGGCAGCACAGTAGCAGAAGAACAGGAATGATGGTGCTTGCGAAGGGGACGTTATGGTCTTTGTTTGAGGACAGGCAGGTACCTCTCTTGGTCTGAATGGGTTGTACCAATCATTATTGGCTCATCTCGTTCTCCACATGGTGAGTGTCTTGCACGAGTTCATTGCCTCTTGGGTTGGGTTGAGGGTTGTGTTGTGGCAGGTTGAGTGATGGAAACACTCCTGCTGCAAGTGCCGCGCTTCTTGGGCTAGACCGCCAGCTGCAATGAGACTGGTGCTTGCAGCGTTCTTACTCTAGCAAGCAATCTGGCAGTGGTTCAAGATATATGCCTCTTGGCTGTTGCTTTCCCGTAGAAGCTAGGTTGGTGTCTACGGGTGGAATAGATTGTATATTTTCTGGTTTAGGAGTCTCTTCGGGGTTCCATCTCGATAAAGGGCTAATCTACCTATGGCGATGACCTCTCGACGGGCTGGTTTACTTTCTAGCCTACACCCGGATAAAGACTGGCATTGTCTCAATGGGACAAGCCACCTTGACGTCGCATCCTCCTTCGTAGATTCGTTCGGGTGTCTCCCCCCATAGCTTCCAGGATGCGCCGGTTGGTAAGTACGCTGTGATTTCCCTCTGCTCGGGCTGCAGCACCGGGACCACCAGATACTTCGAGCCAAAGAGATACTGCGTCTCGCAGTCCCAGGCCCTGGTGTCGTCCGGGAACTCATAGAACAAAGTGCGCATCACGGGGGTGCCCTTCTCGTGGGCCTCCTTCATCAAGCCTCGGGTATACCCGCGCAGCTCCTCGCGGATGCCGATGTACTTCTTGCAAATCTCATAGACTTCCTCGCCGTACGACCAGATCTCGTTGTCGGCGCCGGATGCAGTGGGTTCACCCTCCGGTACAGGCTCGCGGTCGCCGTGCAGTCGCATCACCGGGCAGAACGCCCCCCACTGGAACCACCGCGTGAAAAGCTCCCGGAACGCAGGGTCGTCGGGATTGCCACCGTGAAAGCCCCCAATGTCGGTCGTCCACCAAGGGATACCCGCGAGGCCCATATTCAGGCCCGCCGCCAGCTGGTTGCGGAAGGAGGGCCATGAAGAGGCGATGTCGCCGCTCCAGACCAGCGCTCCGTACTTCTGACTGCCGGCCCAGGCGCAGCGGAGGAGGTTGACAATGTTCTGCTGGCCTTCGGCCTGCATGCCCTCATAGAAGCCCCGCGCGTACTCCTTGGGGAAGATGTTCCCGATTTGCAGATTGCTGCCCGCATGGTACCGGTAGATGTCGAAATCATAGATGTTGTACTCGGGTTCCGCCTCGTCGAGCCAAAAGACCTTAATCCCCTTGTCATAGTAGTGCTGCTTAGCCTTTTGCCACACAAATGCGCGAGCTTCAGGGTTCGTCGCGTCGAAGTGCGTGATGTCCCCGTCACATTGCATGGCGATACGCAGTCCACGGTCGTGGCGGATGAGGAGACCGCGTTCCAACATCTCGGGATAGTTCTCGGACGCGGTCTCGACCGTGGGCCAGACGGAGACCATCACCTCGACATTCATCTCTTTAAGCTCCTTGATCATTGCTTCTAGATAGGGGTTGCCATGCTAATTAGTGCCACTTCCGATATGTTTCGACGCTTATCTATTTAGAACGTACCTGGATCAGGCCAGAATTTGGGGTCAAATTTCCATTCTCCCTGGTGTGGCCAGTGGAAGAAGTCCACCACGATGAGATCCAATGGCACTTTTCTTCTCTTGTATTCGCGCGCCACGTCTAGGAGTTGTTCCTGGTTCCAGTAACGCAGCTTGCACTGCCAGAAGCCGAGTCCATACTCGGGCATCATAGGAACATAGCCCGTCACCCTACTGTAAGCCTCTTCAATCTCAGCAGGATTGTCACCTGCAACAACCCAGTAATCGAGAGCTTTGGTGGAGTATGCTTCAAAGCTCATGGTGTTAGTGCCTAGCACGGCTCGTCCGATACCGGGGTTATTCCATAAGAACCCATACCCGAGCGAAGAGAGCGCAAAAGGCACACTGGCTTGAGAGTTGCGGTGGGCCAGCTCCAGGTCCGAACCTTTGTGGTTGAGTGACGGCTGCTGGTACTGGCCCATGCCGAAGATCTTCTCTTGGGGGTCTAGTGACTCGAAACGCATTGTCAAGTGGAAGTCGCCTCCTAGGATCGGCCGTAGCTCTCGAGCCTCAATTTCCAGTGCGCTGCATTTCGGGTCCTTTGGATCCCGACGGTGACGGGCGTATTCCTCCAGGAGCTTGTTCCCTTTGTGGTCAAAGATGGTAATCTTACCCCGTTGGGAGACAGTTGCTTTGATCTTGCCGTTGACGATGGTTGCGTCCTTCTTGTCGGGCGTTTCGATTGTCGCTTTCACCGAATCTAGCTTTGAAGATAGAGCCCAGTCTTCCGCAGGCATGGATGCAAGTTTCGTAGCTCTAACACGGAACGCATTCTCGCTCCAGGGCTCGATCCAGAGAAGATGATCATCGAATCGAAAGACGAGTTTGTTTTCTTCGGCGTAAAGCATTGTGTCGTGATTTCCAGGCTATCTGATGAGACTGGCAGGGCTACCGAACAACAGGGATACTAAAAGCCCTTTGACGACCACAGGGAATCAGTCGATATCTCAGTAGCGGGGTGGCAGAGTTATACATTTCCCGTTTCCAGCTGCAAGTTACCCATAATAGCCGGCAAATGAATGACGTCGTGCTCTTATTCCTGGCCCAATTGGAAAGCTGGCACAGAGCATTCCGTGGTGGCCGCATTGTTGCATTCAGTGCCACTAGGATTGTCATTGGCATACTGATGACTGTTTTTATTACTGCTGAATGAAAAGCCTTCTGTGGTGGAGACACTCTGAAGCTCGAAAATGCAAGGCGAGCCAGGCGATGAAGCCAGGTTGATCCGTGTAAGGTGCCGATTGGCTTGATTGGAGGGGAAATAGCCTAAATTGACAGGCTGTCTTGGTGATAATGAGAAGCGGGGAATACATGGCCATCAGCGATATCATCTTGCACCACATTTCACTTCGTTGATGGGTAATCATGCCATGTCAATTGCGCTCAATTCATGAGAAGGCAGTTTCGTTTCCTTGATATTTGCCTCTTCCGGTGACATGTGCTACGCTCTGACCGATCCAGTCATATTCTAGGTCCATGTGTCAGATGGACGACAAAAAGGTGGTCGTGGTCGTGAACAGTATGTAATCAAGCTAAACATGTTGGGTCACAGGCTTGAGTTAACAGAAGCATGATCTCCTGTTTTGAACTGGATATGACTAGGGAGATTGCGAGCAACATCATTAGACCTTATTCCGGCCTCGTAAATCGATATCAGCCTTGCGAGAGCCGTGTTCGCGTCTCCTCTGAGAATGACAGCTGATAGACTTGACTGAAAGGTACTAAAGACTATTGTTTTTGTTAGCCAGGCAGGCTATATTCAATCTATCGATTTTGCACATGTGAGGTGAGTCAGCATGGGCTCTCATGATGCATGCAATCATCTAGCATCTTTGGACACAATCTTGATTGTGGTCAATGTTATATGGGGAGCCATAAGAATATACAGTGATGGATAGGTACTACTTCCAGGATATATTCTGGGCGTTGAATAAACCTTTAGCATTTTCAAGCAAGGTGAAGGACAAGTGAATAGCATGAAAGACATGTATAGAGTCGACTCCAGACAACAACAAAGAAGGGAAAGGCAGCGGCGGAACTCCACCGACGGATCTCCCGGGCGGTGTGGAGGTCAACTTCATGTCGGCCTCAGTTTGCGACCAATTTAGTCTTCTCTCTGCCCCTCTCCATTCCAGCTTCACTACCTCTAATTCTGTTATCGCAAGGCATTGAACGGGCTGCGTATTCTCTTCTCTCTATCTACAAAAGCCATCTTGCACGCCTACCATCGTTCAGTCCCTTCCTCCAGAAGGTCCCCTCGCGCAACGCATCCTTCTCTGCAATTCGCCGAAGTCTCCAACAGCGCACCCACCCCCGACACCACCATGGCTTCCATGGACATCGATATGGAAATTGACCTTGGGCCTCTTCCGGAAGAAGACCACATTGAAATTGTAAGCTTTTACACTCCTGTCAATCACTAACCTATTGTCACTGTCATTCTTGCTGACGCCAATTGGGGCTCGCAGGAACCTACACCCGCAACAGCTTCCACCGAAGAGGCCGTCGATGCGCTTTCATCCGAAGCACAATACGAGAAGGTTCACATACGCGGTGTCGATGAGTTGGCAACAGACGATATAAAGCGATTCGCCCTCGAAAACTTCCCTGTCGAGGAATCGAGCCGTGTCGAGTGGATCGATGACACATCCGCGAACCTAGTGTACTCATCGCCAGAGGTCGGCCTTCAAGCATTGGCAGCTCTCACGCAGTCTAACGAAGAGGAGGATGTGTCTCAGTACCCCCCGTTACGGCTACGGTCGGCTAAGCTCCTCTCCTCCCACCCTGATTCCGTACTCCAAGTCCGATCAGCGGTCAAGACGGATCGCAAGAGGCCACGCGCGCACGAAGCCAGTCGATTCTATCTCATGCACCCTGAACATGACCCTCGAGAGCGCCTGCGGCGCGAGCTTGCGGACAGACGTCAGCACAGCGGCGGAGACAGCAGCGATGGTGACTACAGACGGAGGAGATTTGATGGCCGGGAACTGCGGCGACGGAGAGACCGTGACGCTGACGACAACTTCAGCGCGAATATGTATGATGACACGCGTGCCGTCAGTGCCGATCGCTCGGAACCGTCTCGTGGACGTGGCCGACGAGGACCAAGGGATCTGTTCCCTGAAGATGAAGGGGGCTCCTCGGGGCGTCTACGCAACCGCAGTGCGTCACCCGGTCGCGATACTTTGATGGAAGGGGGATACGCTGAGACGGAACATTCCAGCTCTCGCCGGCAGTTCCGTGAGCGATCGCCCCATTCCAGCCGTCAAAATGAAGGCCGGGAGCTCTTCCCCTCCTCCACAGCAGGCAGGAGCGACTCTAACACGCGAGAGCTTTTCCCTCACAAGAAGGTCAAAGAACTCTTCCCCAGCAAGCACAGCAATCACCGCCGGTCCGATGCGATTGACGCTGCGGACGAGACTGCGGATCTCTTCGCTCGCCGGATCTCGGTACCCTTGGTCGATGGCGCACAGGACGTGCAGTCTCAGCGAAGAAACAAGAATATCGAGCTTTTCCCCGATAGCTCGGATTCAAGTGGGCTCAACATCCGCGGGGCTGCAGGTCAAGGTCGGGATCAGGGGATGTCAATTCGTGGCGCGGCAGGCGGCATCTCTATCAAGGGACGGGGGGCTTCTGTACGAGAGCTTTTCCCCTCCAAGTTCAATTCCAACGCGGGCAAGGAGTTGTTCTCTGAAAAGATTGAAGGCCGCGGAGGCCCTCGACGGAGGGCAGAGGATATGTTCAGCTGAGGCGTTCTGCATTCTTGGTTCGGAAATACCCCTGCAAGGAAGTACTTTTTGCACTTCCATTTCATAGTATCATTTCTCATAGTATCTATCATGTTGCCTTGATATGGCGTTTCGCGATCCACTCACAATCATAAATCTCATCTTTGGATGCTCACAATTAAGTCTCTTCAAGCTCATACTTTACACGCATCGCTATGAGTAGGATAATCGCTCGTACCACTGTCGGGTTTGACTACGCGCAAAAACGTCAGATACAAGTAGTTTTGGTTGATGTTGGGGAGGGCCTAGCCGCTCTAAGCTGGAGATGTCTCATGTCAAAAATATGTTTCCCCTCACGCTTGAACTTTCCCCACTTTCCCTCTCCCTAAACAGACCGAAGAACAATGCCCGCAGAAGCGCAAAGCTCGTCACTGGCGGGCGATCTCGTGGCTCGCTTTTTGCGCACACATAATTATACAGAGACGCTCCATGTCTTCCTCCGCGAAGCAGGATTGCCGGCCAACGCGGGGCAAATCCGCGATAAGGACGAGGAGGACTCCTGGACCATCGAAGGCGTGCTCGACGAGAAACGAGCGTTTGACAAGAGCGTCAAGTTTGAGCGATACAATGAGAGCGACAATGACAAGGATATCTGGAGTCTACCAGGTATGTCACTTGTACAAAATGCTACACTGAGCAATACTGATACTGCATGATATTATAGCACCATCCAATCCGACCATCATCCAAACGCCAACATCCTCCAATCTCCTGTCCTGCTCCGTAGAGCAATGGCAGTACCACGACAGAAACGAGCAGCCAGATCCCTTCCTAGTCGCCACGGGCGCAGACAAGCAGCTGCACCTGTTCCAAACCTCGGCGGGGCACGAGCTCGTGCAAACCTTCACCGGCACCTCCGAGGCGCCCATTCTCTCCTACGCCCCGATCCAGGCGGGCAAGCTCGTCCTCCTGACCAACATGTCAGGCCAACTGCTCCTTCAGCGTGGCGCCAGCATCGTCGACCGCAGGCACGACCATGCCAAATACGCAGTCAAGGTGGTCGCCCACGAGGAGAACGACACCGTCTGGATCGCAACCGCCGGCTGGGACTCGAAGATCTTTCTCTATCAGCTCCGCAGCAGCAGCAGCAGCAGCTTGTCTGACAAAGACTCCGCCGTGTCCATCGGCGAGCCGGTCGCGCAGATCACCTTGCCGACGAATCCAGAATCCATACTCTTCGTCCGCCACGTCGACACCAACGAGCTCGTCCTTCTCGTCTCGCGCCGTGACTCAACATACATCTACTACTACCAGGTCAAGTCCCAGCCTCCCACCCCCGCTACGGAAACCTCGCAACGGAGCGAATGTGTTCTCCTCGGCAAGCAGAACCTGGCACCGCATTCGAACGCCTGGGTTGCGTTCTCCCCCGCGTGCATGGCCCTGAGCCCACATGATCCGGGTCTCATTGCCGTTGCGACTTCGACGCTTCCGCATATGAAGGTCATGATCGTGCGGCTGTTGTTTCCTTCACTGGAGACACGGGGTGACGATGTTGATGGTGCGGGTGGCAGGGAGCCGGAGCTGACGCAGGCTGCGCAGGCATTGGCGGCGCTGACGCTGCAGAATCGAGAAGATGCTGCCATTATGATCCAGGCTAATACCTTTGCGCCGCAGACGGCGTACTCGACGCCCCAGGTTGTGTGGCGGCCCGACGGCTCCGGCGTCTGGGTTAATGGGGATGATGGGGTTGTTCGGGGCCTAGAGGTCAAGTCGGGTAAGGTCGTTACGGTCTTGAAGAATGGGCATGAAGCCGGGTGTAAGATTAGGGCCATCTGGGCGGGCTGGGTCGAGCTTTCGGGTCCGAGTGGTGAATGGGTCAGGGAGGAATGGCTTGTCAGTGGAGGGTTTGATAAGAGGCTGGTGGTGTGGAAAGTGTAGTGTGTTTGCATGCATGATTTGTACGGTCTGGCATAAATGATAGCAAGATATTTAATGGAAAGAAGATTGACAAGTTCAATTCATTGACCAACTATAGCTCTACATCAGTCTACTGGGCATGTAGCCCTCCGTCCATGCACCCTTGAACCATGGAGAGCAAAGGCAAAGGGTGTTTGGTAATTGGAGGGCATGGGATCTTCTCTCGGCACGTTAAGATAATCCTTCAGCAAGCGCGCATGGAAAAATAAGCACGAAGCTGTACACACATATGCCTGACATATCCGACTTCAGTTTTGCGAATGACCCGAAGCGAACTTGTAGTAAAAAAAAAAACCCACGTCACTCGCAATACGAGCAGAACAAGGGAAAAAGATAACAGAAAGCACTTCTAGCTTCCATGTATGACCCGCAGAACCAGTCGATTTCCTCGTATTATTTGACAACCGTTTCGGAAACATGTAGCCGGAGACGAGGGACCAGTCTGTGCTGCTAAATCCGACAAGACAAGACGATCCCATCCATTGTTGCGCTGGGGGCGTGAAAAAGAAAGATCAACCAACTCAAATCGCTTTCATTTCTTTTTAAAACGTTTCTATATTAGTTGATTTATGCGACCTCGCGCTTGCCCTCCTTGCGCTCCTTCTGTTCGATTTGTTAGCCGAGTGACTTTTCAATATGGCAGAGGTCGTAAAAAGAAGGGTGCGAAGGCGAGAGTTCGAGCGATTTCGCAGGTCAACGTACCAGAGCCTTGGCGGTTCCGTGAAGAGCGTGTCTGTGGTTGCGGCGGAACTTGGGGTCAACACCCTTGAGGGAGGGGTAACGGTTGGTCTTAGGCTTCTTGATACTGTTGGTGCGAAAAATCGATATGGTCAGCGATTTGCGTCCTTAATTTCCGGGTGTTCCTCTTTCATGGTAAATGGTGACGGTGATGGCGCCGTTACGTGTTGGATAGAAAGTCGATTATTTCCGCAGAAAATTTCCGTCAAATATCGTGCCGTATCCAACATAGCGACCACCCCGCCCCATTTCCAATCATGTATCGTGGTCCTTTCTTCTATGTTCGGTTCAGGGAAGGATTCGAGGGTACGCACCCGTTACGGTGAGCCTTCTGGCTGTTGTGGTGCTGAGACGCGTTCTTGGACTCTGTGTGGAAGAATCATGTCAGTGACTTGACGATCATGGTTGCCGAATGAACCCTGTATGACATAGCGGAGAATCGAATTCAGGGAAGGGATTTTGGACATGAAGTGGTGGCGAGCATTTTTTTTCGGGGCAAAAATCACATAGCAAGGGTGTACATACTCGCCATCTTGTCGGATTTGTCGCAACTGGGAGACGGTTGACGAGGAGTTGGCGGGTGAGGTTATCCTGAACTGAGCGGAAGGCCAGAGTCCCCAAGGCAGGTTCGGCTAGGGCTGGTTTTCTGTGGGATTTCGCTTACCGAGCACGGCTAGCGTGTCGGTCTCAGCTATCACTTGCTGCGCTTTTGACTGCTCAACTTCCCCGTATGGAGGGGATGAACGTCCGAAATCTACGTGATTCATTATGCTTTTTTTCTGACATCTTTCTGTTTCCTACATGAAGAATGCTAGAAAGTGTGAGTTGGATTGTATCGATGAGGCGCGTCTGGAGTATATGTTCTGCCTGAGGCATCAGTTCCCGGGACTGGGTGACTAATGGGGTTTCGTGCATCTGCTGGGAATAAAGCAATCGTGGACGTGGCTGCCGCTTTCTCACTGAGCTGTAAGCTAGAAGCAATTCCTGATGGATATTTCCGCGATGACTGTCACGGATGGTTGAACCTACAATTTTAAACATCGTATCAATGGCAGGGTCATATCTGATCTTGAATCACGTGATGATGCTGTATGGGTCCCCGCCTACTTGATCTGGCTTGTGCTCATATCGATATTATATGCACTTTCTTCAATATCATTATGTAGACTATTTCTAAAACATACTTGCATATGCAATAAAGGACCTCAATAGAGTCGACAACATTCCTGGAAGCCTCTGTCTTCTCGTACTTGGGACCTTGTTGTTTGTTTACGGATGGACTGAAGGCAGGGACACGATGAGAGGATATATGCGCTGATAAATAAGATACAAATATCAAAGCTCAACCTGTGAGTAAGAATTGCAGTGAAAGGCCACACCCGGTCACGGCGTCAAAGTTGTTGTAAGCTGTTGGCATACTTGTCAAATCGTCCATTGCCGTTGTCGCGCGGAATCCCACGTGACCGGAAGAGCCGCTAGGGAACAACCGGCATCCGACTTCGACCTTTGCAACTCTCAACCCAGGTTCAAGAGGGATACTATCACCACCACCTCCATTCCGTCCTTTGCAAGATGAGCTCTCTCCGCTTCGCTCGCTCTGCCCTCCGGGCTCGTCCCTCTGCTTTCCGCGTTCCTCTCCAGCGCAGAGGTTACGCCGAGGCTGTCAACGACAAGATCAAGCTTTCCCTGACCCTTCCTCACCAGGTACGATTCCGACCCTATTGATCAATCCTCTGCGTTCGCCATGATCTTCAGGAACTAACATCTCGGCTTTCGATCAGTCTATCTTCAAGTCCGCCGGCGTGTACGTGGCCTCCTGACTTCCATGGATTGCGCAATTCCGCGATCCTTCTTCAACCTTGACCGCCTCGTACTTACGAATCTTTTCCATCCAGTGTCCAGGTCAACATTCCCGCCGAGTCTGGAGAGATGGGTGTCCTTGCCAACCACGTCCCCTCCATCGAGCAGCTCAAGCCCGGTCTCGTTGAGGTTGTTGAGGAGGGTGGTGCCAGCAAGAAGTTCTTCCGTACGTCCGAATCGATCCCATGAGAAACGGCCGCACCGCAACTACAGTTTGCTTGGATCGCGGCTGCAGCACGGCTCAGAGCCTAGCTGACCCATCGTCTTCACGTATAGTCTCTGGTGGCTTCGCCGTTGTTCAGCCCGACTCTCAGCTGAGCATCAACGCCGTCGAGGGTTTCCCCCTTGAGGACTTCAGCGCCGATGTAGGTTTCCACATACCGGAATGTTGTATTGTCGGATAACTAACGCGGTCAATCCGTGAATTCAGGCTGTCCGTTCCCAGATCGCCGAGGCCCAGAAGATTGCCAGCGGCAACGGCAGCGAGCAGGATATCGCCGAGGCTAAGATCGAGCTTGAGGTAGGTCGCGTCCAGCTTCGTCATACCATAATGTTGTCCACTGACACTGCGACCAGGTTCTGGAGACCCTGCAAGCCCACCTTAAATAGATACCTGATGTACATATCCAGTCGCGGCCTCCAACTTGACCTTGTAGAATTAAGCCAATTCTCTTGAAATGTTGTTTTGCATGAATTCAGGACAAGCGCTTGTCGGAGCCTTACTTGGCACTAGTTCCGCTACGACTAACCACTATCAGCCTGACTTTGATACATACTTGGACTTCTCCGGTCTCCCGCGGTCCCTGCCCTGTTGGGTCCCAAGTCGTTCTTTCCTAGCTTGGTTGTTGAGGCACGCGGTCTTCCTCCCGTGCATCTCCGTCTCTCCCCCTTCCGCTTCTATTCTAAAGCAATCATCTGGTGACTTATCAAGGCACTCCGCCCCGTACTTGTGCTTGTGAGATAACCCCGAGTGCACAGATCCAAGCAGAATTCCGTTTATGATGGCCCTCCAGTCCGTGGTGCCTGGTCCAAGCTCTCTCGTCCATGAGCCTGACCTCGGCGGCCACGGACACCCCGACGTCCTACCGCTCCTTTCAGATCTGTTGTCTATGAAATCCCCTCCATCTTCCCCTGATCACGGCACGTCTAATGGACCGGAGAATGACAAGATACGTGCAGCTTTGCAGCGAATGGATTCTCGCGAAACCGATACCTTCCAGATCTTCCCTATGGACGTTGACAGCAATCCCTCTCTAGTAACAGCATATAACGCGAACGACCGGGAAACCGGGTCCGACATTCAACGTAGCTCACCGATATTGATGGGTGGGCCTATGAAAGAAAATGTGCCGTGCGACGTCGAAAGTCGAAAGTCTACAACCACATCAAAGCTGAACGAGCACTTCCCGAGCGCAATGAATGAAATCCTTACTGGTCCGGAATATACAGGGTCTCCTGATCCTGAATCCGTTCACAAGCCGCCTAAACCACCCAAGCCGGCTTTCCTATCTGAGTTGGAACTTCCTACTACATATGCGTCCGGTGATGTCCAGCCATCTGTTTTGGGACCCGAAGCGATGCACCAGGGAAAGAAACCAGCAGCCACCGGCCCTCAAAGTTTAGCATCACGGGAGGGTGCAAGGGCTCCTCTACGTCTGCTCAATCGGTCGATGGGACGCTTGCAGGGGCATGACGCACCGAAACAGATCAGAAAACCCGGCATCAACCCGAGGCCCCTATCATGGCGGATTCTTTCACGGCCACTAGCAGACCCGAATACAAGGATATACGTGAAAGACGAGCCGAAAATGCCATTGCTCGCGCCTTCTCCGATGGCTGTTGGGTCGCCCCTTCGCCACAACTTCGAATCACCTGACACTAAAGGAGGTGACAGTATTCCGCTCCCGGTCCCTGATGGTTCCCGTCAAGATCAGCCACAAGGACAGCGCTTTTTTGGCGAGTTATTGACTTCGTATATTCGTAAGCCTTTTCAAGCGATCTGGCTCCGGACCCAGCAAGATGAATGTGCTATCGTCAGCTTGCTGGTTGGGCAGCGTTCCGAGCAGCATTTGCTATCTCAATCAAAGTCGTGCTCGTTTCATGTGCATGTCAACTGGCCTATTGCGAAGGCGTATGCCAAAAGTCGGGATGATAAGATAGAGGATACTTTTGTTTCTTACAGCTCCACCGCGCATCTTGTTAAGGTTGAATTCATCGTCCCGATTATCTTCTTACAAATCATCTGCTCACTGAAAGCTGGTTTCCGCAGGGTCATAACCTCTCCAGCTTCAAGTGCAGTTGTTGGCCTGCTTCAAGTTTTTCTTCGCTTCGCTGCAGTGGTCTTACTCTTTTTCTTGGGCAAGCTCGGTGTCAGTGTTTCTATTCGACGGAGGGGGTCTCACAATGTCTGAAGCTTTTGTAGCCTGTAAGCCGAGTGTCGGCTGATGAGGGAAATCAAGCCCATGATTTATGACGCTGGTCTTAGGAAGGAAAGACGATGATAATGAGAGCCAAGTTTGCCCACGTATCGTTATTCCAGCATGAGCTTGTTGTGTGAATGATGTCGCGAATGTTAAATGTTAGCTATCAAGATTCATGGAAAGGGCGAACGAGGTTGACTACTGACCCGCAGGGAATATAAGATGCTGGAGAAAGCGGCCGGGATGGATGTTGTTTCAACGCTTAGGTGATTACCACGAACTAAATGAGAGAGTATGCCACTTTTGACTATTTGCACTTCTTTTTAAACTGAAGTATGGAATCAATGACCGAATTCACAATTTGCGCACTTCTGCAAAGACCACCCCCGCCCCTTGGTCAAATCGACCACCAATACACATGCTCTATAGGCCAAGTTTGATCGCCTGATCTGAGTGGATCAGTTGAATCTTGCATCTTCGTTATCAATCATCCATAGTAAATCGCCATTGCCCCTCATACTACAACCTGGAGTAGGGTAGTGAAAAGCTTAAGTCCAAGGTTGTTGTGTCTTGGTTGCCATTGGGTTTTCGTTGAAGCCGATCATGCAAGGGAGCAGGGGACCTAGAAGGTGGGTCGAGATGTCAACAAGCCAAGGAGTCTGAATCCCTTTGTTACAAGTCCCGGCTAAGGCGCTATTTTGCTGGAGATCTAGTGGTTTGTTATCGACTGGCTCAGCTGCAGCAGACAGTTGCTATAGTAGGTTTTCAAAGACAACGAATGGATTAGACCTTGAATACTGAGAGGGATAACCGTCAAAAATCAACTCTACAGGGTCAACAGACTAGCTCTACCGGAAAGAAGTTCAGGCCACAAAATCAAAACAGACATGATATTTTGCTTTCTCAAACCCGATAAGGATCAGACATCCCTTCCTCCCAGCCACATGCATTCATTACGGTAATCACAAAAGCAGCGGCGCCCATCCAAGTAACCAGACAGGGGCTCGCGCACACAAACAATTCATATACACCGAATCATCAACATCGACATACATCAGCATGAACATAAAAAAAAGTAGTAAATCGACAAACAGAGATATAACCTTACCACATGAGATCATCAATATCATATCGTTGCTATACAAAAAAAAAGGAACATGACGAACATATGACTTTATCAAGTGAATTCGACGCCTTGCTGTCTCTCCTGACGGGCTCGTGCTCGTTCGGCACGTCTCCGACGGCGATTGCTTGCGTACTCGCTCGCTTCCGTCCCAGTAAAAGTTCCAGTTCCAGGAGATGTGATACTGGCTGCGCCGTATGGGTGGCTGGAGGCTACCGGGGGCGGGGGCGGAGGAGGCATCTTGTTCATGTTTGGAGGCGGAGGTGCATAGTACGTGGCAGGTGTGGTGGATGAGGGAGCAGCCGATGGCCCAAGACCGGCCGCCGCCGCCGCTTGCTCTCGTTGCATTTGCTCCTGCTGCTGACGTTCCAGCTCCTCAACGCGACGCCATCGGTCGTACGAGCCACCTTCGTTGCCCGATAGAGAGCTTGCACTGCCGGCTCGACGGCGCGAGTTTCTTCTTTCGCGTCTCCTTGCCTCTCGGCTAGCGGCTGCTTCTTCATCTGTCAATCTTCTGAGTGTAACGTGGCGGCCATCGTTGTGCATCTTGACTTTGACAGATACAGGGGGTGAATCGACATGATCGTCGCGATGCCGACTCCTGCTGCGATGGCGATGGCCTGAAGAAGCAGCGGCGCCTAGAGCAGCTCCAGTCGTAACACCAGCTGCTAGGTCGCCCGAGTCGTGCCGAGGAGGAGGAGGAGCTGGCGCCTCCGAAACTAGATCATACGGGACCGGAGGAGCAGATGCTGGAGGCAAGTCTGAGTGTGCTCCAGCGATTGCCCCAGATGCCATCGGGACGCCAGGAAGAACAGTTTCCCCATGTGATGGACGACGTGGCGGACGCGTCAACTCCGTCGAAAGATCAGTGGCAGTGAAAGACTCTGGTGCCCGTCGCGGATAATAGCCTCGCCTGCTATTTTCGCGGGCCAACCTTTCGTCTTCCATCTCGTGGCGACGCATCTCATCCACTCTGCGCTGCTCTTCATTGGCTTTGCGACGGGAGAAGAGACTCTTCACTGCTGCGAAGGCTCCTGCACCTAAGAAAGCATTTCGAAGCGTATGGGACGGTTTTCGTTCGGGTCGGTCCGAGAGGTATGTGCTGTTGAAGTAGTATGATGAAACTGGGCTTCGAGAACTACGTCTGCTGGCTGGTCTGCTCGGCGGCCGGCTTGGAGGCGATCTTGGGCGATGATTGAGAGGAGTCCGCTGCGTTGGCTCCATGCGGCTCAGGCTCTCCTCTGTCATACTATCGCTCCGTCTATGAGCCCTGCTATAACGGCCAGACTCTGTATCGTCATCCCGGTCGCGTTTTCTGTCAAGAAATTTTTTCACAAGCCATGCACCGCCACCGATAGCTCCCAGCTTGAGCATGGTGTCTTCCCAGCGTCCCCGATGTCGTCCCTCGTCTGAGAACTTCTCTTCTGGGTACGGCGGGTGCGGATCACCGTACTCATGCTCTCTGCCTCGGGAACGTCGTCTGAAGAGCGAGCCCAACCCAGGACCTGCTGGTCCCGCCGCTGCCATGGGACCGAGACCGCCAGGGGGTCCAGACGGGCCAGACACATGACTGCGACGAGCTTCATAATCACCCTCCATGTGGTATCCTTCAGTATCGTATAGGTAAGACAGCACGAACCATGTTGCCAAAAGTGCAAAGGCCGCGATCGCATATAGAATAAAAAGTACCTTGGGTGACCCGTACAGCGTTAGACCCAGTGGTATTTGCACAATCCCTAGAATTGTTAGAGCGCGGCCAATCCACCGATGGATCTAGCAATGAGTCAGTCATAATTCCGACACTGGCAGATCCCGCTGCGCGGTTCACTCACGACAAGCTTCAGCGGCACATGAAACCGCCTCTTGTTTCTTTCCAGCTTGTGAACTAGCCAGCCCCATAAAACCTGGAAGATAACCAAGACGTAGATTGCAAGGCCAATTCCATGATGAGGATTGGTCAAACTGCGTCTGGGGCCCACAGCAAACCAGCCGAATACAAACACGACAGTGCTCAGCATCACCGTCAAGACTTGGCACCAGACGTGTAATTTGAAAGCCCAATATGGATTCCACCGCGAATAATACCGGACAATCAAGACTGAGACGGGAACGAGACCGAGAAACACGATGGTGGCGATGACACCGTGCACAATGATCAGAGTGTGGTATTCGGGCATATCTTTAAATCGGTTTCCCATTCCTAGCGTCCAATGTAAGAAGGCCGACAGCTGTAAAACATCTGAGTTGCACTCACCATTGTACCGCATTGTGTCGAAGTTGATACCCATTAGATTGGGCAGAAGGAACGTATCGCGCTCTGAATCCCATGTCCCATCACCCACATGTAGCGTATTCGAGGTATACGTACTGCTCCCTGGGGCCGTGAGCCCCGAATCAGCCGCCATGATTGTGGAATAGCTCGTTCTCCTATGATGTCAGGTTGAGATTGATAATGACAGCCGAGACGGCGAGTTCAGATTGTGGAATGCTGGAACTACCGAAGGAGATCTAACGAGATCTCCCACACCGAAGAATGCACCATGCGCCGACGGAGAGATAGTGGAATCGACCTCGATCGCTGATTTGTTCTCCAACCAATCGACAAACTATCGGGGAAAACGCGTGAATTCTGGAGATCGGAGACCCGGAAGAAAGACGGACTGCGCTTTGAAATGAACGCTGGCGGTGAGAAGTAATAGCGATCCTAGGTGGGGGGACCAGAGCTACTATAGCTTGATAGAGTCGTCAAGGGAAGACGAACCAATGGTCGAAACAATGACCAGACCAGAGCCAGGGATGGGAAGAGAAAACACAATGGAGGGGGTGGGAAACCGTCAGCAAGGCCTAAGAGGGAGGACAGTTTAGTCAAGCGCCGGGGGGAGAAGCTGATGGATATGCAGGCAGGCTGGACTTACCGCTACGGCTGGCTGGGATGCGATGCGATCGCGGCTTGCACTGCAGCAACAACTGTTTTCCATATGAGGTTTAGCGTGCCAACGCATATCCCGGACAACCACAGCTGACTCAGCAATGCTTGGCCTCCTGCCAATCCCGACCGCCTGCGTTTTCCATCGAGATCGCGTGCTATCTCACTTTATCCATCTTATCGCCCGCTACTTAATCAAGTGATCTCTCCCTCCCTTCCTTTCCCCGGTCCCCTCAATTGACGACAAAGCGACAAAGGCGGGATGCTGGTCTCCGTGTTCGACTAATCTCTTTCCTTGATCTTCCACGCTTGACGTTATTTTCTCTCATGGTTATCTGAGGTGTGTGAAAATCTAATCATGGCCTCTCAACTCGAGATCTTTGTTAGAGCTCTGTCTCGGTATGTGCTCCCCTTATCTACACATAGCCAGCGGCCCTCAAGTCGAACACTACTAATCTCAAAAACATAGCCTTTTGGGCTGGATCTAGTATGTCTTCAAGTCACCTTCGAACCTTTTCAGGAATCTTCCTGTCGGGCCGTACACATACCTTGTCAGTGACTTATTGATTGGCGTAGCACGCTTTGTTGGTCCGCATCGTTCTATCCCCAACCGATCAACAACTTTCGCCGGCGGTCAACCACGGGTCTAGCCATCGACTTTCCTACGATCAACGTCCTGGGCTTTGTTTGCTATACGGTATACACTTCTGCGTTTCTCTGGTCGCCTGTCATTCGCCATCAATATGCCGCCCGTCATCCTCTCGCACAAGACGCCACAGTGCGCTTTAATGACTTCGCTTTCGCCATCCATGCTGTCATTCTCAGCGTCATATACTACTCCCAATTCTGGCCCATTATCTGGGGCTTTAAAGTTTCTCGGTATCAGCGGGTCAGCAGGCCGGTCGCTGGTCTTTTTTGGGGTTCTATCCTCGGCGTAGCGGCCGTTATAGTGACTGTTCTTGCTAAGAGTCCCAACCGGGGACTTGATCCCTACTCGTGGGCATGGATCGATGTGGTGAGTACTCCTAAACCATTGCCGTTGTATTCTTGCTGATCCAATCAGATTTACGCTCTCTCATATGTGAAACTGATTATCACCATCGTGAAATACGTACCTCAAGCGTGGGTGAATTACAAGCGCAAATCCACCTATGGCTGGAGTATCGAAGGGATCCTGTTCGACTTCTCCGGCGGTATCCTATCCTTAGCGCAACTCATAATGGACTCCAGTTTCCAAGGTGATTGGAGCGGCATCACTGGAAACCCGGCCAAGTTTCTCTTATCTAACGTGACCATCTTCTTCGATGTCATCTTCATCGTGCAGCACTACATCCTATACAAGGACGCAGATGATGATAAGAATAAAGGACAGGGTGCGAACGATAGAACGCCACTGCTGTCGCAACACAACGAACTGCCGTGAGCAGTTAAGGTTTTTTTGAATGTTTTGGATACCCGAGGCGGGTCTATTGCAAATTTACTTTTTTTGGAGCGTCTCAACGGGGTTTCTTTTCCCCTGCTTTGGTCCGTCGTGTATGCCTCTGTCAATTTGTCGTGCCTCGGTTTTCGCAAAGTGATAGTATCACAACCGAGGCTCAGGGGGGTTTCTTTGGAATATGTATGAAACACTAGAATCTTCGTCGCAGCACACGGCGGAGTAGCCATTCTCCTGTGGGATGAGCACCTGGAAGCATCTCCAGCGATTGGAGGTTGCTGAGAGATGACTCAATACCCAATCCTGAAGGATGAGTAGATTATATTTTTGGAATTATGTCTTGCACCAAGGCACGGTACATGCGTCGTGGGGATGTAACATGACTCTAACTCACACAGAGCACACACACGCTCCAACCGCAGAGATCTGCAGGCCGATCAGGGCCAGCCCGGGGGTGTGAATGCATCGTATGCAGTACTTTGCACAATAGCGAGGATGCCGACACCGCTCTTTATCAGCTCTTCCGTGCTGACGGTAATCCTTTGGCGCGGCTCCCCTTCCACAATCCCGCCAATCTGGGGATCGCCACGCTGCGGAATCTGGCAACATGGCATGAACTACCATGCTGCAGCAGGGATGTTCTTCTTGAGGCTTATGGCCCATCTGGCGGTAAGCAGAAGAGATCTGCATCTCAGCCATGTCCAATAGCGCCCGCTTGATGGTCCGTTTGGGTGGTTGAGTTGTGCCAGCCTTGCAAGCGTGGGGGGCCTGAGCATACCGACAGCCATTCATGTCAGCCTGTTGGCATTGTCCCACATGCAACGGCCAGAGAAAGCGTGCAGAACCATGACTCGAATACGCATTTTTGCATTCTGGTTTAGTCTTTCAGGGTGTGATGCATCGTTAGGTTTTTCTTTTCCCCATGTTTTCTTTTTCTCTCCCCTATATCCGTCCAGGACCTGCGAGTCCGCGGGCCTCCGACACTGAGGCTGAGGCCCTTACCCAGAAAGAGATTCTCCACCGACGCGCGAAAACCACATGCATATTATGCTGCAAGCTCAACTGCCGCGCAAATATGGTCTTGGGTCTCTAAGCTAACACTCAGTCTGAATTATCTTGTCAGCAAATGACCGAGTTTTTTTGACTGGGACGGAGTAAATCCAAGCCATGTTTCGACAACAGAGTGAATTCCTGACTCTCCCAGTTGCATATGCATTACCCTGATTCGTGCACCGTGGCTTTTTTTTTTCTCACGATGACTATGCACCTCAGCCCTATCAGGTAACCAATCTCGAGCTGTGACGGTCAATAGTTGTGCCTACATAAGCAATGAAGATCTGCTTTGGGAAGAGCAAATAAGACAATGCCCAGAAAACAATAGTCCGAGTCCCTAGTCTGCGGTGCTATTGGCCGATATTTGAAATTCCTGTTCTTGGAGTCAACTACACTCAAACAGAAGATGTCATACGGACTTTACCGGCCGGCACTTCAACGTCAGCTGCGATGTTGGATTTCAAACAGTGGAATGATCTATTACATCATGCACCTAGCAGCACCCCCCACTATACATCAACCTCGAAGATGTGGTCTATATTAGATCACGAGTTTCAGAGCTAGTGTGGAAGATGCTGACAGCGTCAACGCCTGCCGAAACCAATAACGCAGTGGCATCAAACTGCAAAGATTTATTAAGCAGAGATTCAGAATGACTCCCGCTCAGCTACTGCGTTGACCGTCAGCTCTCGACAAATGCATAGCCCCATCTGACATTCATGATAGTCTTTCGAGAACAAAATGCCAGAAAGACCCCAATTTGCGTGACCTTATATAACCTCCGGACACAACTAGAAAGAAGTTAGACAATGAAGAAGCACTAACGCAAACAAGCCTTGGCCTGATGATACTCATTGTGGTTCCTATGTATGGCTCACACTCATCGCCGAGAAAGGAGCGTTCCCATGGAGGAGGATACAAACGTAAGTAAGGACCTCCCCAAGTCTTTGATTAACAGGATTGACAAGCTTCAGCACAACCCAATCTACGAAAGAGCGTCGACTAGTTCTGAGCCTTCCACCATGGATTCACAGACTATTATTGACAACCGGATGCTGCTAGTATCCGGCTCGTTCGTCCCAGGCACCATGCCATTGCAGATGCAGCCGCAACTAATCCCAGCGGCAGCCTTCCACGAGGCTCTTCCGTCAGCCGTTCATGGGATGCCTGGAAACCTGGCATATGCATTTAACCAATCTCACAGCAGGAATGTGGGGGTGGAAGCAATCTTCTTCCAGCAGGCACCTTACACTTCCTCATTCATGAGCCAAAACCTGGCATCGTCCCTTCAGCCCAGCATACCGCTACCATCACATCCACCCGCGAACACATCCAACCCCGCCTACTCTATGCGCCCGGAGGGATGGGCCGCGCAGACACAGACCCAGATAGAGGCACATACACCGACCCCAGAACCACACACAACAGCAGCAGATTATCATCTCACATCATCCCATCAACGTCAGCAATCATTAGCCCAACAGCAACTTACCCCTCTCTCCAGCTCAACCACCGACCTCGACCTCGACCTCGATCTTGACCTTGACCTTGATCTGGACCTCAACCTCAACGAATCCCCATCACATTCACGAAGTCACCCTCAAACACACTTTCGACTACTCCCAGAAGACAGCGCCACCGCCGTCGTTCCATCCTCATCCTCGTCCTCCCCACCACGCCTTCACCACCACCACCACCATCATAATGCTCCCAACAATAACAACAACCAACCCCAACGAGACCTAACCAACTACGGCATCCCCAACCCCGACGGAACCTGGCGCTGCGCCTACCCAGGGTGCGCCTCGCAAGCTTTCTTCCGTCGTGGCTGCGACCTCCGCAAACACTACAACCGACACCGTAAGCACCTTTTCTGTCGCTACGAGAACTGCCCCCAGGCCACGCGAGGTGGATTCTCCAGTAAGAAGGACCGGGATCGGCACGAAGCAAAACATAACCCTGAGATTCCATGTGAATGGGAAGGGTGCCGTCGAGTATTCAGCCGAGTGGACAACATGAAAGATCATGTGAGACGGATTCATAAGAGGCGAGAAGCTGGAGAAAGAGAGAGGGAGAGAGAGTGAGCAACCAAACAAACAATCCTCCGTTGCTTGTCTCAGTCGTCATCTCTGCGGGGGCGGGGACCCCCTTTCCATGCAGACAAATTCGGAACAAAGCCTCCTTCCCCTCCTCCCACCCCCCCTCAGTATTCTCGCCACCGTGGAACGGAATCTGTAGGAAAGGGCGGGTAGAGGAGGGGACGGGGAGTCCGAATATGCTGTAGTGGAGCGGGTCAGCACTACCTACATACATCCAAAACATGTATGTATAGTATGCTAGCCTGCCGCGGCCCCCTCCCCAGCTGACGAAAGACGAGAATTTTCTTTTCAGCCGCATCCCGTGACTTCTGACGAAAGAGGAAGGAAGACGTGTGGACTACAGGATGCGGGACAAGGGCACCGGAGGTTTTTGCTTGCTTGCTTGCTTGCTTGCGGCGTGCGTGCAGGACTTGGCCGCGAAGGCTTACCTCTACCGTACCCCTTCGGGAGAAGGTGTGCTGACAGCATGCTGCCTGGAGGCTACCTCTCTCCTTCTTTTTCTCCCCTCTTCACTTCTCTGCAAGACCAACATACTACGCTACGCTACGACAGAAATCACTTGAAAACGAAAAGGATAAACAATCGAGTTTCCTCCATCCGGTAAATGAATGACCGGGGAGCAGATGACGCACTCTCCCCCCCTGCCTCTCCTCCCACATCGCTGCCCCTTGTCCTCCCTCCCAAAAAACCGCCACCCATACTTCATTGTACGCTACGCTATTCATCACATCAGCAAATTTCACTGCGGGCCAGTGAGAAGAGCGAGATTCTATTCTCTTTGGATATACTAACACATACAGGAAGTCATCCAAGCACACTGATCAATGTACTGTACTGCACGCACTCTGTCTGTTTCATCAATCCATATAGAACTTATTCATCGGTCTATTCCTTTTCTGCTTTTGTGTTATATTTCCCATATGGAATGTCGTTTCTTGGACATCTGAGCTTTCCACGCTAAGCTAGCTGGCTAGAAAAAAAAAAAAAAACAGAAAGTCCAAAGACAGGGTTCGAACACGCATCAAGACCTATTGCTTCCTGTCATTGTTTGGAAAGAGACTTCGCTTCATTTGCAACGCGGAAAAAACCTTCTGCCTGTACGGATGTTGTCTTTACCTGGATTCATTCTTTTGCGCCTCCCTTTCATTGCCTCTACCTAGTTCGCAACTCAATACTGCAGGTGATGAGAATTAGAACCCATTCGATTCACACAAGTCTCGCTCATTGAACCTCGATCAAACGCCAGTGCTCCTATATGTATATGTGGGGGATATTTTACGAAGACAGGTAAGAGTCGTCGAGCGGAACAAGCCAAGAACTGAGGACCGCAGAGGGGAATGAAGCAATGTAGAAGAGAAACTGAAAGAAAAATCGGCAAGCTTTGCCTGAAAGCGCCGATGGGTTTGAGTCTTGTACAAAAGAATAGCAATTCGCCAAGGATCCATTCAGCAACAGATAAGGTTGGGGAATATATGCATGGCCAAAAACACAATCAAAGAAAAACTCAAGCGAACGGCATGGAACAAGTCGCGGGAAAGTTTGATGGTAGAGAGTCATCGTAGCTCTAAGAACATCTGGTATCACTAAAAGAAGAGTATCGAGAAGACGGAACGAGCTCATAATGCATGTGCAGTATACACGATAATCGGAGAATCGGGTGGCGGGCGGTGGGTGATGGGCAAGAGTGGCTGCGTGATTCTCGGCATGATGGTCCAGTACAGCTGTCATGTTCGAGAAAGCCACTTCCTAAAAGACTAAGGAAACACGAGCGCTGTCGCTAATGCAATATCATATGAATAATAAATCTGCACTCATGGGGGACGATCGTGGAGAGGTCGCTCATTGAGCATTCGTGCGGCGGCGGCGACCGCGGTTGCTACCTTCTGGTCTCTGAGCCAGGACCTGCCTGAGCGCCGGGTCGTCTTTGTTTTTATCGACATGGTGGACTCGGACATGTCTGTCAACCTGATGTGAGTTGTGGATACATACAGACTTTGGTGAACAAAAGACCTACCGTTGAAGATTGTCGGGTCGAGGATACTTATGCTGTTGATCCGGACAGAAAGGGCAGACGTATCCGGGAGAATTGTGAACGAGACCATGACGAATCATCTCATTCTTTCGTTTGAAGCCCTTCCCCCCTGGGCCACGAGGGCAGCCGTCTATAGGACAAAAGTGCGGACGGTCTTGTGAGTGGACGTTGGCATGTGAACTATTAAGCCGTTGAGTTTGTATTCTAGAGTCGAAGAGGGTCATATATGCGCTTACTTGAGTAGATATTGTGTCTGGAACGGAGGTGCAGTGCACCCAAGATGACGACATTTATAGGTCCCGGCTGGTATGGGTCCATTAGTCTGCGCGGAATGGTGGAAAGAACGGTCGCATGTTCCTGAGGGTGTCTGATCTGTCGGAGTCGGATAGCTTGTCGCTGGGCTCTTGACGGTGGAAGCCGCCACCTCATATGGGGAACTCAGGTAAGGTATTTCTTGCTTGAGCCTCCAGTAGGGCGATTGTGACGCAGGAGAAGGCATGGTCGACATTTCCTTTGAGCTCGCGGGAGACAAATGTGAATATGGGCTGGGCGGAACCTGAGGGGGAGGGCCAAATTGCCCCATGCGCTGGTGATCCCAGAGAGAATCTGTCCTCGATACAGGCGACGAGGCTTGCACTGGAGGCAAGCTGTACGATGAGCCATTGATGCGCATGGCAGCATTTGGCGGTACATCCGTCACTGCAGCTAACGCTGTCTGAAGGGAAGGTAGGCTATGATCCAGGGTATTTCCCGTTGAAGGCGAGTGAAGCGCTGGGAGGACTTGGCCTGGAGATGTTGAAGGAGGAACGAGCAGTAATTTGCTCAGGCGTGATTCGGGATCAGACACTGTTTCCTGCCGTGGAGGATCATCTGATAGTAATGATGAGATATTAGAGGGCGTATGCTGATGCTCCTGTTCAGGAGACGGCTGCTCCGGGGAATGGATGGGTTGTTTTGGCGTCAATTCGAGCTGAACGTTATCCCTGGAGTCTTCCCTGCACTCTAGAGGAACCAGGTCAAGCGCTTTTCTGGCTGTGGCTGCAGCTCTCAAGCTGTCTGTGTCCGTGGGCTTGCATGGATCCGGCAGCAGAGCATTGTCCGGCTTGAATCTTAATTTGGTGGGCTTTTCCAGGTAATCATCTGCCACCGCCTCTAGAGGGAAGTCATGCTGGTATTCGAAATTGGCTATATCAGGTCGATTAGGCTCTAGATGTCTGATCAGCACCGAGTTGCCTTCGATTATTCTGGGCTTGGAAGGTTCCGGCAGGCGCTTACGGGAACTGCCCGAAAACGGTGCCTCATCGTCTACAGCAGATTTAGCAACGTCTCCCTCATGCGGTTCCCCAAATGGCGGAGGCGAGTCCTTGAGTGAGTAATCAACCTGGGTTTTCTTCAGCCCGGGGGAACCGGGAACATCTGGATCGTATGATTCAGTCATGAAGGCGGTGGTTTGAGGCGCATCAGGTGCGCCGGCCTCTTGTCTGCCGGTGATTTCTCTTGGTGCCTTGAACTGCGTTGCGAAATGCACGCTCACACCGAGAGGCAGTGGAAACCTGTCTTTAACCTCTTCGACCGGCACAACAGGCGAGTTGCGTTGTGGGGCTCAAATGCACTGTCATCTGATTAGTAGGTGCGCGGTTTTCACCCAAGCAAGACGGCATGTATGCACGAAAGATGCTGACAGAAAGATGGGGCGAGTGTTCTCTGGTAACCTTTCATCTCGGACCAGGAACCAAGCATAGTACGGGGAGAAGGGTCCAAACTGGTGAAGAAGAATAAGATCAAGATAGACGGCAAGTCAATCGAAAAAGAAACATTGGAGGATCGGACCAATGAATCAAGATCCGATCTGTAGCACTTCGGAAGAACACCACATTTGGCCCCGTTGCAATGAATGTGGGGTGCAGATCGAGAAAAGACAGCTAAGAGATGAGAGGGGCAAGAAAAGAGAAAATAACCTGAGTGGAAGCCAGCGAGATAGAAGGGAGAGATATATGGATTCACATGATAGCAAAGGTTTTGTGTCTTTTTTTAATTATCCCTTCTGGTCTGAATTGTTCTGTTCGCTGTGCGAGGAGAGATGGTGGGACGAGAAGACAAAGAGAGGAGAAAAGCGGCAGGGCGGTTTTGCTTACCTGCTGCTGTCACGGAACCCAAGTCGGGTAGCCTCAGGAACCAAGCGATGAGGCTCAAGCGGAAGTCAATCAACCGCACGTCGAAATCCACTCCAGAAAGACTGCACGGTGCGCATAGATCAATCAATCGTCCGCGCAAAGATGGGGAGTCGTGTGAGGAGGGAATTTGGAGGGGGTCCCGAATCGTTTCACAAGCAGAGGGAAGGTCGGTTGATCCAACTAAGCAGTGGCGGGGGGATGACAATGAGGGAAGAAGGTCCCGATGTCACTTTGGCCCGGCAAAAGGTGGAGGAAGAGGAGGAGAACCAAGCAAGCGAGCATCAGGTCATGGGGAGAAGAACCATCGTCTAACGGCGCCAGGAGTAAGCGACGGCAACAACAGGGCTCTTGGTGGTGTCAGTAATCGTCGTCGTCGTCGTAGTAGGTAATCATAAGCAGCAACAGCAGCAGCAGCAGCAGAAGGGAGGGGAAGGAACGGGACTAGAAGGCAGAAAATCACAAAAGAGAAGAAGCACAAAGGTAATTAAGTCAGAATAATGGCGGCCGACAGTGATCAAGACACGATAGAATAGTGACCGATGAAGCTAATAGTTCGAGCCAACGGGATTATGAAGCGCTTGGCAGTGGGAACTAGAAGGGAGAAAAAAAAAAGGAAAGAGTAAAAAAAAGAATAGAAATAAAAAATAAGATAGAAAAGGATAGGATAAGGAAAAAAAGGTTAAGGGTACGACCGGGGAGCGGTCAGGAGCACAAAAGCAGCAACAGCAGCGTGGGAAACGGCAGAACCGAAAGGAAGGATCCGGTTATCAGCAGGTAGTAAATCAAACGGGGGAGAGAAAGAGGAAAGGAATGAAGCAGAAGAAGAGAAATAAGAAGAGGAAGAAGTCAAAAGTAGAAAGAAGCTGGAGAAGCAAGAGAAGAAAACTCACACAATAATGGATAGACTGGGATAGGATGGATGGATGGATGGATGGATGAGAATAGTCTAGATGAGGGAGTGAGTGGATGGGATGAGATGGTGACTGACTGATTGTTAGAGCTAGTCTAAAGTCGTTGGATCAACTCCTCAGCTCCAAGTCGAGGCCGTCCGTTCAAGCCGTGGTACTCGGGGTGGGATTGAGGAGAAAGAACCGTAGGAAAGCCGCGGATTGAGTCGATCCACACGCACCAGCCCGGCCTGGAAAAAGACGGGTGGAGAACAGCAACAGCAAAGGCTCCAGACGACAGGACAGGTTTCTTGCTTTGAGAAACCACCTGGTCTAGTTAGTAGTCACCATGCGAAAACAACAACCATAAGAGAGACACGATGAATCAGAAAGGTGGAAGCAAAACACAAGAGAGGACTAGATAAAAAGCGATCATGGATAGTTCTAATCCGAGGAGGAGGAATCGTTTCTTCTTTCCTTTTGCTTTTTCTTTTTCTCTCGTATTTGCTATTCCCCCTCCCGATTACTATTGACTGACAATAGTTCGGTCGTTTTCTTTCTATCTTTCTGCCTGGATGGCTGGCTGGCTGGCTCGTTCTGACTTGACTTAGACTCTGTCTCTTTCTGCCTCCCTCTTTCGCTCCGTGAGATTCAATCGAGTGCAATAGTAGGTATGTGCACAAGAAGGTTTGGACGGTCAGTCATGGAAAATCACTCTGATCGAACTTTCGGAGGGTTGTCCAAGGTGTGCATTGAAGCTCCACCTGCGTCAAAACGAAAAGGAGAAGAAAAGATACTGGAGAGAACGTTGAGGGTGTGACTGAAAGCTGACTCCCAGACGCGCCACTGCAGCAGGCAAACAGAGGTAGGTGGGGTGAGTCCCTCACGACAGACAGACAGACAGACAGACAGCCGAAGGTCCAGCCAGAGGCTCAATTTACAATGCTGGTATTGTTGACTTCTACCGATCTGTTGTTGCTTAGGATGCTTACCCGCGGCAAAGCACTATCATATTTAGTGTCGCTGATAGAATTGAGGTTCACCTCCTCAAATACTACTGTTGTCTATCTTTCAATCCCATCTTTCTGGCCATCAAGTACAAGCGAACGAGCAGCGAGAAGGGGAGAAAAAAAAGGAAGAATAATGCCACGTCCACGAGGCTGATCCAGCCAGCCTAAACCGAAAAGAGGCTCCACCTGAATGAGGCTCTCTGCATGGATGTCGATGATTGGTAGCCAGTCGCGGGCACAGTTTAAGAGGCTGAATTGTTCATCTGCACAGAACCGTCGTAGAACTTGGCGACGAGGGGGTGGTGTGGGAAGAGTGCGTTTGGCTTGCCGCCGCCCTTAAGCCAGCAGCTCTTCATAACGGAGCTTCTTTCGCGCAGGGCGATCGTCTCAAATCGATGGGATTCTCGATCGATCGACAAGGCTTTCTTGCCTCTCCTGTTTCTGATTGTCTCATTTCTCTCTCCCTCTCACAGTCACAGCTCGATTGATCGTCCACTATCTAAAGCCAAATGCCGTACGGGGGAAAGGTAAGGTAGTAGGTACCTCAGGCGACAAGGCTGCTGTGCAGTGATGAGCCTGATTCAGAGGTTGATCCTGACTGATTCCTGATTGATCATTGATGGCTGACCGCCTCGGAACGAATCTCAGTCGATTCTTCAACCTCCACTCCGCCCTACTGGACAGAATCCTTCTGGCTCGGTAACACAGACGGCACGGGATAGCATCCATCCATTATGCCCTGGGATGCGCATCAGATCAGTCCTTACGACGGACGGATAGAGTCCTGAGGCAGCCATCAGGACCTGGGACCGAGAGCAAACAGATACTACCGCGGGTGCAAACAACCCACATATAGAACGAACGAGAAATGTCCTCAAGAAAAGAGGAAGAAGGATGATGCAAATCAAGGCCGCCGGCAGAAAGTGCCAAAAAAAGAAAAAACCTGACTACTATGTAGATAGCGACCTAACTGTGAAGTTGATTTCCGTACGGGCATGATTGACCAGTAGACTACATGTAAATAGATTGGCTGAGGCCCAGTCATAGTGGACGACGCTAAGTAGCTGAGCCGATTCCGACCTGCCCCATTCCATCGAACCCTAACCAGTAGCCGCAGGCAGGATTGAGGATACAGAGTCGTGAGTACAAAGAGGAATGGGCATGGGAGGGAACAGGTGTAGGGAGGGGGAGGAGAAAGAGAGAAGGGAATAACACTCAAGCCAGGTCAGGTCAGGTTAAGTCAGGTCAGCTGTGTCCCACTTTCTGTCACTCCCTGTTTATTCCGGATCTTCCCAGTTACATCGCATGGCCAAATCATCACCATCATCTTTATCATTTTCATCGTTAACCCCCATACCCTCAATATCACTAGACTAAACTAGACAAGACAGACTACTTTTCCGTTCGTATTTCCAACCGTTGGCAATTGCAGACTTGACCACTTCGGCATTGGCTCTCGACCCGTTGAATCCCAGAACCATGAATCGGAATGGGTCTGGGAGGGGTTGGGCGGGAAACGGTTATCTACACTAGCCACTAGCCAGGTGGGAAGGGAAGGAAGAGCTCGCCGACTATCCCTCCTTAGGAATCGTTTCTCGAGCCAGACATTATAAGCCTGAAGACACATTCGACAAATGGCCTAATTACCCATTTTGCGCTTGGCTTTATGGATTTCAATCCCGGATGATCATGGCAGAGTTCAGAAGAGGAAAAAGAAAAGAAAAGACCAAGAGCGAAGGAAGATGAAGAAAAGCACAAGAAAAATGCTTGCTTGATACCCATCTGGCCTCCCCTCCTTCTTCGCCTCCAATCCCGACCTGCTGTGCAGGCATGGCAGCCAATCCTCTATCCCTAATTAGGCAGGTCTTTGGGGGACGGTCTCTCACTGCAATGGACGTACCCTGGCGTACTTCATATTGATCGATCGATTAACTGACACTGAGTGTCAGGGCAGTAACTACCTACTTACTGTACAGCATTTGGATACAGTACCCAAGTAGACGACTACATTGCTTGTAACCCCTCCTCTTCCTTAGATTAGAAGAGCTAGAAGTCTAGTCGCGAGGGCTAAGACCCGGAGTAAATTCAAGCGTGGTCACTCTGGTGACTTTCAACTGTCACTCTGCAGATGATCGGGTCGTAGGCTCGTAGCCAGCCCCGGCCCCACGCGCCTTTCTCTCCCTCGCGCCCCTCTTCCCTTTCTCCCCCTCCCCACTCCGTTGTCAGTGCACCTCAAATGATCGATGCTCGTTTCACAACAGACCACAAAAGAAGTGATGCTGTTGTTAGTTGCGGCTACTGCTAATCAGCAGGTTGAAGAAACAGATTCTCATCTGCAGGGTTGGCAAATAGCACACTCTCTAGCTTCGAAGAAACCCACCTTGTATGACGACATGGTTCTTTATTGAGGCCTGAAGCTCTCAGCGTGATGAAAGCTGTTAACAACTTGGGGTTTTGATTAAGCCAATTCATCCCGTCCCAGATATAGTGGGGAGACACCCCATCCAGCCGCTTGCTTAACTCTCTATGTACCCAACTTGAATTTGCCAGCACAGCAGCAGGATCAGTTCGGTCTACAGTACCTAAATATCTTTTATTTTTCTCTCTCGCACTGGTAAAGAGAGGGGAAAAGTACCGTGCCCCATGACTCTTGTTTCTTGGGGCTTACGGCGGTACTCTCTCTGCACAACCATCTTACCGAGCTGCCCCAGTCAGGAGCATCGAATACCACCGCGCTGTCAGACTTGTTGTTAGACGACCAGGTACCACCACCTCCAAGCTACTAGTGACAACAGAGATGAACTCCTCATCGAGTCAAGTCATTCAGCCAATCGTTAAGGCGTGAAGCATCAGGGTGGAGTCACGACCTCCGAACCAAGTAACAATTCTAGGGTCGCAAATCGAGGTCAGATAGGTTACTTCTGCACAACAAAGCAGTGAGAACAAGCAATTTCGCTGTCCCCAGCGGCGTAAGGAGGGAGAAAGAAAACAGCCCGACCGAAGGTCCTGAAACCCCCGAGAAAAAAAAAACCACTGGCCAAACAAGGACGAGAAGGTCGTGCAATGCAACATGTCATCCGATGGAAATCGACCGGATAGGGACTAGAGGCGGCCCGCGCCGAAGCAAACTGACGGTTCAGTTCACCAAATTTCGCGGATGGATCGTCGACCGTGGACGGTACTTAGAATTACCGGTTACTTCATGTATGACTATGAGACTTGCTTTGCTCTCTGCTGCTTATTGACAAGTAGCCGCACCACAACGACCACGCACACAGACCAAGAATATTTGATTTATAGTACCTATAATCAATATCCTGGAAACGGAAAAACCCCCTCCACCTCAATCCCCGAAGTACCGTCGCCGCACCAACCACTCCAGTAAGAATAAACACCGATGGTCCCTACCGGTACATGTGCTACTTCAATTCCTCCAGACCACCTTTCTCGTCTGCGTCACCCATCCTGATCGACACCAAGACGGCAGAAGGGAGCTAGAAAATTTTAGGGAAACTAGGGAACGTTCGAACCTCGACCCAAGGCGGACGCGGGTTGCGGTCACCCGAACGTCTTTCTTCTTTTTGTCTTTCTTTGTCAAATTAATATCGCACAAAGTCAAAATCAATAACACAAAAACAAAATGAAAAGAATTTATGGCCCGGTTGAACCTCGTTTTAATATACTACCCGGCTAGACTGAATTGACTAGTCAGGTCGAGGCCAAGCAGGATTCCCGTGTTTATGGAGTTAAGTCAAGAGAAATCAGCTTATCATTTAAGGCCGATTTCTTCGGACAACGTCCTCCCATGCCCTAGCTAAGTTTTAGACTTCCCGAATCCTTCGGGAAGAACCAATCCCTAATTCAGTTTCCTGCCTGAGGTTTTGCTATGACTGCCAGGTGGGAGACGGAATCGCATCCATGTAGTCTCGTAAGTTCATTGTGTCTAGCCCAATTGGTTGGATTCGTTGCTACGGAGGGGCAACCGGGGATTCAAGAGATGGGGTGATGGGATGGGATGTGGGTGCTGCTGCTACATAACACGACCAACCCTCTTGCTGTACAGTACATGCTTAGTTCTTACATGGAGCACTGTGAAGTGGGGTGGTTGGTTTCCCGGATGGAGTAAGGATAAGTAGCAGCGAGGCACGGCTGCACCAATATGTATGTCAGATCTCCTTACTCTACCTACCCTGTCATCTTTCATCTTTCCCTCCCCATTCTCCTAGGAGGAATCACACCGGGGAGGGAAAAGTGATGAAAAGTTGAGCACTTTAGGTCTTGGGACGATGGATGAAGTAGTCGTGTTCTAGTTACTTGCGCCATTCTTACTTCAGCCGCTGACCGTTTGTTAGGGATGCGAATCCTGCCGAGGCCCTCCCCCAGCATGGACCACGCAGCTACCAAAAGCAAGAGAATTATAGGGAGGAAGAGCGAGAGAGGAGGGAGCTTCAAGTCCGGTTGTTTTGACTCTACTACAGAGGGGCCAGCATTGCGAAAGAATGCAGTCATCATCATCAGCATCCTCCTCAAACTGCTGTACAATTGAGCATGATCGAAATTTGATCGATCTTATTTAGAACCCCCACACTAACTATCAGAATAGCATGCTTTCTTGAAGTAAATTTGGCTTACTAGACTACTGACTCAGAAATCCCTGACTATTCCTGAACAACCAAGTAGCTTACTTCTCATCCACCGCATATCCGCACTTCCGGCTTTTATTCGGAGGGGCTGGAGCTAAGGCTAAAAGACCTTCCCTCTTCAAATGGACTAAGTTGTTTAGTTGTTGTAAGGTAGGTAGTGCAACCCTGGAGAGCCGCACCCAGTTAATTGCCTCAACCGGGGAGAATGCGTTGGTGCCGGTGGGCTTCTTTGCTGACTCTTCTCTTGCATTCGGAGAGGTTAATGTGCGCTGGTCGCCCCAGTTGGGTTCCCTGCTTAAGGCAGATACGAGGGATATCCGGCGTCATCCGCTTGCTCTCTCTCTCTCCTCTTTCTCACCATACAGCTGGATTAAATCCACTCCCTAACTAGCTGGCTAGCTCTTCAAAGGTTCAATGATTACCCACGGAAACACAAAAAAAAAAGAAAAGAAAAGAAAAGAAAAGAAAAATTGGCCGTGCATCCCCAAGCTACTGCTGCTCATCCCTGTTCGTTGGGACTAGCTTTGCAGGCTGACTGACGCACTGACATTGTTGTTTATGCTCTTCTAAGCGGGAATAGTGTTTGCACGCTTTACACACCACACGAAGTTTCTCCATCTACGGGGAGAGGGAAGTGGGGGACAGATCATCGTTCCGTCTCGTACTCAGTGAGACCGATGAAGGTCCACGTAAGAAATCTTGATCTAGAAAGGCACCTTGCACGAGAGCGTCCTGTCTCAGAAGGTTGAGCGTGACCAGATCCGACGTGCGTATATTACTTGAAAAACAGGGTTCACTACATGCCACCAGTTTATGACGATGCGCTAACTCTTCTCTTCTCTCTATCACATTCCAGAAGACCTCGTTGAACCGTCCGGACACATATTCGGGCGGCCCACGCATAACCCGAACTCATAATTTCGCCCGTTGTCGCAGCTGTTCTCGCACCTGCTTCACTCGCTCCCAAGCCTTGAGCGCAAACGGATTGGTGTTCCTGGCATACTCCACCGCACGAGCACTGCTGGCCTGGCGAAGGGCATACCGCGCCTTGATGCCTTGCATGATGACCGAGCTTCGCCATGAAAAGAACGCATCGCCCCATGGAATGTCTGGCGTAGGGTCATAGCCAGACACCTCCTGGTACCATTGGACACAATCCGCTCGGGTGGGCAAGCCAGGGATCACGTTGGGTTTGAACTGGTCTGTCTTATGATCCGTTCCTTCCAGGAAGTATGGGCTGGTCAGATTGCATAGGTCTGACAGCGGGTGCCCCACCGTGGCCATCTCCCAGTCCAAGATGCCGATGACGCGAGGCTCGGATTTATGGAAAATCATATTATCAATCTTATAATCCCCGTGCACGAGCGTGCCCCGGTCTTGCGGCTGGGTGGCCTTATCGGAGAAGAAGCGCACCATGTCCATGAAGTGAGGCAGCTCGCCGACCGGTTCCTTGGTCTCCACATCCACCGCTTGGGCCTGGGCCTGCGATACTGCGGTAAAGGTCGCGATCTGACGATCGTAGTAGCCCGACGGCTTTCCGAACTGTTCCAGACCAACCAGCTTGGGGACGACCCGGTGGAACTTGGCTAGTGTCCGGACCGCATCCTGCCATCTACATCATCTTAGCTCGAGGGACATAAGAGCAGGAGAGAGAGGGACCCTGCACAGGCCAAGCGACAAGCAACAAGGAACAAGGCAATAACATACAGCGCGGTTCTTTCAGCGGGGTCAATGCCGGGCATAGCTGGGTCAGTGAAGTGGCGACCGTCCATGAACTCCATGATATAGAAAGGCGTGCCGATCACACTGCTATCCTCACACAGACAGTAGGCCTTCGGCACAGGCACATCCGTATGCTCCAGGGCATGAATGATCTTGTATTCACGCTCGACTTTGTGCGCCGTCTTGGAGAGTAGCTTGCCTGGAGGCTTCTTCCGCAGGACATACTTGTTGCCGTCAGCGGTTGTAAGCTGGTAGGTCGGATTGGATTGTCCGAAACCGAACTGATCAAGCGTTAGTAAGTCGGATTCGCTGTCAAGATTGAGTGCTAATCAGGTGATCCGCTACCTGCTTCACATCTACTGGCGTTTTGATCTCTGGAACGTTCTGATCGAGATAGCGTTCCAAGGAGGGAACGTCAATCGGTTGGCGCACGGCTCCAGCCATGGCGCGACGATTCAAATATGATGACTTAGATTGCGATACAAGCCGTGATTCCCTCACTCTATGTCCCTGCTATATAAGACGCCGGGTCGCTGCGAGCCAGGGATGGATATCATGTTCGAAAGGGCGGGCAGTCGGTGGTGATTAAAAAAGGGCACAGGTACAGGACCCCTCCAGCCGAGGCTAAGCACCGCATTCCATAGGGGTCAATTTGCGGGGCGTCGGCTTCACCTCCAAGGCTTGGGGGAGATTCAGCCGCGGGATTGCCCTCTTCTTAGTCATACAGCCAATCCGCTCAAACAATGCAAACCAACTAAACAGATCTTGCCCAAGCCAAAAAAAAAGTAAACCACTTAACGCGCTGTCGCGTGTTGACCGCCAGACGCGTCCCACCATGAAAGCTCTCCTCACCGTCGCATCTCGTCGTCCGCCTCGACACACCGCAATTCTCCCTTTCTCTCTTCCTCCTCATTGCAGCTCTAGAAGAAGAAGCGACACCGTTCCTCACTTCTTCTCAACCTCACCCGCACAACCACCTACCCGTATCCCCAAGATAATGACCAAGGAGACCGCCCGTCCTCCCCCCACCGACCCCACAACCACAACAGCAACCACCCACGAACCTCCCTCCGCGCCCTCCTCCCCCCTCGCCAAACGCACCAAGCCCAACACCACCACCGAAGAACAGCAACAACAAACCTCAAACATGGGCTCAACCGCTAACCCCCTCCCCGCCCTCCTCGTCCAGAAGCTCACCCCGGCCGGCCGCGCCCCGACCCGCGGCTCCGCCTTCGCCGCCGGCTACGACCTCTACAGCGCCAAGGACACTGTCATCCCCTCGAAGGGCAAGGCGCTCGTGGACACGGGCATCGCCATCGCCGTGCCTGAGGGAACCTGTACGTTACCCTCCCCTCGAAACACCAGCTTACTCGAAGCACAAATTTTTCTCAACACGAGACAACACAGACTCCCAGACTAAACCGTATGAAATCTAGACGGCCGCATTGCCCCCCGCAGCGGCCTCGCCTCGAAGCACTTCATCGACACCGGCGCGGGCGTCATCGATGCCGACTACCGGGGCGAGGTGAAGGTGTTGCTGTTTAACTTCTCCGATGTGGATTTCGAGATCAAGGAGGGTGATCGCGTGGCGCAGTTGGTTCTGGAGCGGGTGAGTTTATTTCTTGGTGATGGTGGAGGGATTAGCGGGGTGGTGAGGGGGTAAATTGGTATTTTGAGCTAACGTTTGCCTTTCTTGTTGCGCAGATCTACACGCCTGAGGTGACGGTTGTCGAGAAGTTGGAGGAGAGTGTTCGTGGAGCTGGTGGGTTTGGAAGCACGGGTACCAATTAGGTAGGGATTATAGAGTATTCATTGATGTGATGATGATTTTGGGGGGAATATACATCTGGAAGAGAAGGACCTCGGGACATAACTAGCGAAAATGAAAGGTTCTTTGGTTGGGGGGGGACTGATTAGACTATGTTCACAAATATACCTCACGATCTATGGATTGAATCGAATCGAAAAGAAAGTATCATTATACATGTTTTACATTTTGTTTATATCCTCATGGTCTTCATCTATCATCCAGTCCAGAAGACAAATATCTACTGTCTACAAAACACGAGTTCCGCCCGCATCAAAGCTAACCGCTATCCTATCCGTCTATGATCTATGCAAGACTCCATGGTCTAGAATCAAGAGAAAAATCTTTTTCATCGGAATTGTGCCGGTAGATCTTCTTTGTTCCATTCCTGGGCCGGGAATTCCACCGTCGGTTCGCGCAGGAATTGGACGTGACGCACGACTCGCACCTCCGCGGCTTTGCTCTCGCGCAGATGTTCCTCTTTCTTCCGCTCTTCCTCGCTGAGAACCTCCCCGTTTGAGATGACCGCTGCCTGTAGCTCTGCGTTGCGCGCCTCCATGGTTTTCTCAAGAATGCAGTGCATGCTGGCGAGGACCTTGACGGTAGACTGCGCCAATGGCAGTGCTGTAGCGGGGACGTCATCCGGGGATACCCAGGACTTGGTGGTGCGGAGGGCAGGGTCGGCGGCGAAGACGGCCTCGCGGAGCCGCGCTACCGTCAAGGCGGCGAACATGTCCCCCGTCCCGCTGAAGTAGCAGTCTAACGCGGGGACGTCGACGCGGAAAAGACGCGGGGAGCCGTCGGAGCGGGTGGTTGAGCCGATGACGGTGAGGGTGTTTGCGGGGGGCGCAGCGGTTGCAGAGGATGATGGAGAGAGGTTGGAGATTTGAACGGATGTGATGATAACGTGGGGAACCTTGTAAATAGCGTGTATGGCGGTGATAGCCTCTGCCAGGGTGCTGAGAGAAGTAATCCTGACTCCAGACAGGACTCTGTCCATGAACATTAGGCAATTGCGCGTGTCAGGATGTGTGGGCGGGCTGTTTCTCACTCGGCTTCAAATTGGTTTGGTAAGATCAAGTCTGCGTGGTGAATCATCTTCTTGTATGCTGGGACGACGTCGTCATTCACGTATAGTCGGCCTTGATCACCCATAACCGGGTCCAGAACTGCGCGCAATTAGATGCTTTGCACAAGAGGTAGAATCGACCAGATTGCTCACCCCAGAAGAAAGAGCCTGGGTTCTTCTCTGCGTTGCGCTGGAGATCCATCCCGATAACCCCGACTGCCTCCACCGCCGCAGCGCTGGGGGCGTAGCCAGACAGCATGACATCGAAGTCAGTGAGGTGGCTTTGGGTCAGGCCCTCATAGAGCGCAGTAATTTCTTCAGCCGTTGCTCTCGTTCCCTTGAATTGCCTGTAACCCGTGTGGTTGCCTGGCGAGATAGTCAATGCTATGTCTGGATGCATAAATGCGACAATCGGGAAAACTGACTGAAATGGACGGTGTTCAACGCAGCAACATCGCAGCCCAACAGCTGCATGGCCACGCTGGCCATTTTATTTCCAACATATCTGCTCAATCAGTCCTGGAACCAAAAGCAATGGATGCGTGACCGGCGGCATGGACGGTTCCCCGCGATATGATGACACATACCCGTAGACGACCTAGTCAGGTCGGGTCAGCTGACTGTTCGACGGTCTTTTTAGTTGAGGGGGGAGAGGTGAGGATGAGCATCACGTACATGGCTGGCTACCGCGAGAACTCGCGTTTCAGGAACCAGAAGATCAGCAGCCATGATGAAATGAAGGAGGAACTGGTGGAGGAGGAGGGGGAGATGATGGTCGGGATGGAGATATCAATCATGGACGAGATCCGCTCTGGACTGGGTCGGCGATAGGCGAGCGGCGGAGCCCCATTGCCGCCTTGGTGATTGGTTCCTGAGGCCGACCTGCAGCCCGTGCCAATCACGGCTAATCTTGCCTATTGCCTTCTTTTCCAAGTTGCTTCAGGTCTCTTCCCTTCAAATTTAACTGTCCCTTGGAAACGAGCTCCGAGCAGATTTCGTCTGATGGACGTGCATCCCCTATGAGGACTGGAACCGTCTGTGCTGTACTTCTATTCTAGCTTTGCACCTAAGATACCAAGTTACATGAGCTTACGATCACGAAGATGACTCGACACAACCTTCGGCCCCCTTTCTTAATGTCATGCAGGTAATCATGGTCAACGGGAGGCCAGTACTTATTGATGTACGGCAGTACATTCCTCAATCATTGCTTGCTCTTCTGCCCATCGACTCCTTTCTATACTAGATACCCAGTCAATACTGAATCCCTAAATAGTGTTGTCGACTCTTAGTCTTCTGTCAGACCATTCCTTGAAGTCCATGACTACCGTCGCACTGACTCGGCACGGTCCAATGAGACCCGCAGCTAAGAATAAACCTCGACCGGTCCAGACACTTCTCTTGTCTTCGGTTCTCTGGGCTCCCACTGCAGGACAGACGGTATCTGCACTCTGCAGCAGCCCTTTAACCCGTCCCGGTGGTGGTGGCTTCAATGCCAGGCACGCCGTCTCGTCTTGTTGCGGCAGCCACACGCACACAGTCCACACACCCCCCTGGCTGCCATTGACCCATCCGCTCCCACTCCCTCTCTCGATTCTCCCTGTCTCTCTTTCACTCCGGGCCTTTGCCATCTAGCGCACTCTCAAGGGTATCAGAGCAAGTTCCGGGGGCAACAACAGAATGGTATAAAGAAATCACCTCCCTGCTGCTCACTGCATGCTCTGCGGCCAACTACTGGCTTTCTCCTTGCTCTACGCCCCGGTGTGTCTCTGTATGCTCAGGGCCCGCCCAGCCATCTTAACAGGATCAAAACATGCTGGTTCGATGACCATTACACGTTCTTTACCTCGTCTGCTGGTTTTTACTCAATTAATATTTCACATACCCGTGTCACTCAACTGCAACACCACTTCCCAAACCTGGGCGCCCGTCTAGGGCTGCGTCGCTCGCTTCCTCATTCAATCTAAAATGGATCTTCAATCTAATATGGCCCATTGGTCACAACGGCACATGGACGGGCATCTGGCTCGCCCACTGTCGCGACTGACACTGCTGCTTTCGTTTCTTCTATGGAATCTCCTCGTCATCCACACAGTCTCATCGGCAGCTGTTCCATTTCTCCAAACGGATTTGCACAGATTTATATCAGATCCAGGCATCGCTACTAGTAGCGGGATGAACGTCCGTAATGCACTGGCCCGTGAAAATCTTGCCGAGCATATACAATATAGCAAGAGAGAAACCATCACCGTGGACACCAACCAGATTGCAGGTCTCTCAATTCTTGTTGCAGACGATTTGGGCCCTGCCCCTGGGCAGCATGTCGAGCCTCGCCTTCGGTCCCGAGCGGCGGCAGATTCTGATACTTTCCCAACTGCGTTCGATACCAGCCTCTCGAACAACTTTACTTCCTCCACGTGCCCCAAATTCTTCAAGTCTTTCCTTTCCAACACCACCATTACCTCCTGTCATGCCGTCTCCATGCTCCTGCGTGATTCCAGCTCCTTCTTCCGCGTCGTCACATCCGCCACGCTGACCTCAGAAGTCCTCGATACCGCATGTGCCTCCAATGTCACCGATTGCGCATCTATCTTCTCTGCTCTCGCGGCCGAGCTGCTCAAGGAAGATGTTTGCGGCAAGGACTACTCTGCTGGTAATCCTATAGTTACCAATGCGTACACCGACATGATCACTTATGAGCCACTTTACCGGGCTACATGTCTCCAATCCCCTTCGACCAACAATTATTGCTTTGTGGATGCTATCAGCAATACCAACAACTCCGCGGACTACGACGTTTATTTTGTAGCCTACGGTAGCACCATTGCCGCCTCTCCTGCGCCCACCTGCAATAAATGTCTCCAGGCTACCTTGGCTCTCTTCGCCACCTGGGCCGAGATGGACGGGCAACCCGTTGTCAATTCTTACATCCCCTCTGCTGAGGCCATCAACTCGGATTGTGGCGAGAGCTTTGCCAATGTCAACATCACTGTTGGTTCTGAGAAAGCCGTCTCCAGCTCTGGTGTCGTAGTTCCACTGCCGCATTGGTCATTCTGGGGTCTTGTGACGTTCAGCCTTGGATTAGCCTCTCTGTTGGCGTTATAAGCTGTCCTCACGCAAGGAGAGTTATCACCGTAGTCGCGGCTTGTCACTCCTTTCATATATGGACGCCCTCTACACTACCTCATTCCACGTCTCCTAAATCCTCCTCTTTCCCTTTCTATCAACAAGATACGTTTACGGGTGACGACAGCGATTGCTAGGATATTCACACCCTTTTCGGGTTCTAGTCCTTCTTCGATTCTTTTTTGTACTCGTCATTTTCTTTTAACGAGGGATTCTGGCTGAGACTCTGTATAATTTCTCATGCGTTGTGTCATATAACTGCTATAATGTTTATACTTAATTTGGCCAGTCGCTTATGGCCCCCTGCCTAATCGGAGGATATGGTTGTAGTTAGCATAGATACTCGCTAGAGCTCAATAAAGCTCATTGCATGGTACGGCTCCAGATAGTTGAGAAAGGGGACAGATGAAACATCAAGCGAGTAGACAAGAGCATTGTCACCAAGTTTGCAAAATGCTATCAAAGAACATGGCAAACAAATTTCACACGAGATTAAGCGAAAGAGACCGATCATTAAAGGTGTCTCATGCACGGTTAATCTCCACCGTGGGGAAACCGGAGATGGATCCGATCGACTCTATGGCAACAGTGCTTGCAGGTAGGGTAGTCTTCGAGCTTAATTGTTCAATGGTCAAGCAACGTATTACGAAGCTTTCAGGAGTTGTTGAAGACTATAGACGAGACCATGCAAAAGTGTTATAGAGACGAAACTACCTCGGTGACATCTCGAGGACTGTCACTGAAGCACACACGGGCTGGGGGAATCTTCCCCGTGCGCCCCAAAGGCGGTGCCGGGCCGACTCACCGCCGGGCCTTGTTTGTTTGGGGTGCTTTGCCGTTCTGGGAAGGATGTTGCATCACTACTCAGCTCTACATACCAGGCACACTGAGACACTGAACTCTTTTCCTATTTCTACATTCTACCCAGCTGTCAATTTCAATCCCGCCTCCAGTTGATCCTTCGGTCTTCAATCCCAGACTGAATTCCGTCTAGTCCCCATTCTCCCGTCATGGTGGGTGTTCGACCTCAATTCAACCTCCTAATGTCTCTCCTACAGTCCGCTTATCGAACGTTCAACAGGTCACCTCCAATGCGCCGTTCCGGCCGTCGCCCTTATCATTTGGCTCTCCTCGAGCATCCCCTTTTCGCCGACCGTCTACTTCCAACTCCCCTCCGCAAGCGCGACCCAGCACTCCCGGCAGCTCCCCCGGTCGCGGATACACGCCGGTGACATCTCCCAGCAAGCTCAAAGAATCCTACACGGTCGCAGATGAGGATGAAGTCTCCTCACCCCCTCAGCAGAACCGCAGCCCGATCGCCCAACCGCGGTTGACACGTGAAGTGCCTCCGTCGCCCACGCGCGGGGCTGGCTCCTTGGACACCTCCCCCGTTATGATGGCGACCAAGGCCACGCATATGATGGCGGCCTCTTCGGATGCGGCCGCCCAGCTCTCGCCAGCTCAGTTGCGAGAGATCCGCGAGGCCTTCCAGGTGCTAGATCGGGACAATGACGGCTTTGTCAACAAGGATGATGTTGCGGACGTCCTTGTGAACGTGGGTAAGTGATGCTCCGAGATCTCCGCTTGTCGTAACATGACTGACCCGCATCGATCCCTTTCAGGCCAGGATGCATCCGCACTCTCGCAATTCTTCCCGCCCGGGGGCCCCTCTACGATCAATTTCCCCACTTTCCTCAACACGCTTTCCCAACTGCTGGCCCCGTTGTCAACCCAGCAGGAACTCCTGAACGCCCTGGCGGCCTTTGATGAGGATGACAGTGGACAGATCGACGTGGAGGAGCTGCGCGATGCCCTGATGCATACCGCCCCGGAGGACGGCGACCGACCTCTCACCGACCGGGAGATTCGCGACGTGCTGAATGGGTTTACAGGCCGTCGGGCATTCGGGGGCAAGGGCGCACGAGGGACCGGAGGGAGCAAGCGCACGGAAGTATTCCGATACCAGGAGTTCGTCAGTGGGCTCGTGGGTGGAACAGAGACGAACCAATCGACACGACGCGATGCCTGACGGGTGGATGAATTTCTTGTTCTTAATTGTTTTATTTTCGGCTCATGGCTCATAGCGTACGGAGACACGAAGCATCATAAATACAACTGGACAGTGGCTCTGGCAGCCATGCAGTTGTGGACGGCATGATTATATTATCCTGCACTGCGTAAATGAAAGAGAATTTGACTTTGTTGTGGTTGTTGTGATTGTGAACCTTTCCACCGAGTTCTCCCACTTGGCCCGATTTTGACTTTCCGTCCTTGATTCAGGCTGGCACGAGGAGCTGTCAATCAAGGGGAAGAGAGGGGGGAAAGCACGAAGGAGTTGGAAATTTAAAGTTGGCACGCGAGAATCGAGCATCTCGTGCAATCGAGCCATGCCATGAGGCTAAGGAGTGCACAGGCGTGAGAAGAAAGATAGATAGATAACCATGGCAACAGCCAACTTTCGCGTTGGGCACGCGATAGACTGACTGACTGACTAACTAGTCAGTCATTTAGTTAAGTTCGTCGGATCACTGCTTACGGATTGATTTTCCAGTTCCCGCATTAACTACAGGCAACGGAAATAAAATCAGTCATTAGGGGAAAAAAAAAAGAAAGAAGTGGTTAAGAAGAGGAATTATGAGAATTGAAGGTACATAGTTGGTGGTGCTAACCACAACTAGTGACAAGACAAGACAGACAAACTCGCAGTAGTTTATGGGAAACTAACACTAGTTAATAACTAGTCAGTCTCTAACTACTGCAAATTCGCCAAGTCCAGATTGGAACCAGAACTGACTGACTGTAGTTAACTAGTGCTCTATTATTGACTGATTGACTGAACTGCTTCTTTTTCTTCTCCTCACTAACTACACCTTTTTCTTTCTACTTTGGACAACTTCTTAAAAAATTACTTGCATTCTTTTCTTACCAACTGTGAAGATTCACCACTCTCTTCACCACTACCACCACCAAACTCTCCTCAACCACAACCTGCATTCTTTTCATTACTTTCCTTTCTCCCTCCTCCCCCCCCCCAACCCCAGCCTCTCCCTGGTCTGTTGGTTCATTCATTCTGACCAGGAAGATGGTTTCAGGTGTCGGCTGCGCTTCCAATAACCGTCCTTGCTGATCATCCTGCTCGATCGACTCCCTCCTTCCTCCCCATAACCATGTCACCCTCACCTGCTTCTCCCTCCTTCTCTCCGTCTGCTCCTCCTCCATCCACTTTACCACCTCTCTCGCCATCTTCCTCCTCTGCTGCTGCCTCCCCCCAGCCTACTCAAGCCCAGTTGAACCTCGCCGCGTTGGCCAGGTCTCCGTCATCGCCGCGGACCATGCGAGGCTTGCGCAAGATCAAGTCCCATCAGGTTCTCTCTTCCCATCCGCCGCCGCCGCCGCCTTCGTCGTCGGGGCGCCTCTCGGCCGGCGCCGAGGAGCTCACCGCGCCCGGACCACAACTTGACTCCCCCGTGCGGCTTCGCAGCACGCATCGTCGCACACGTTCTAATAGTGACGCTTCCTCCCGCGAGCCACCAATACTTGCAACGCACCGCCGACCCGGTAGGAAGACCGGTTCTGGGTTTGGAGTCAAAAGATCTCTGCTCGAGTCGCTTCTGCGCGATGGTCCGCAACATGGGAACATTCGGGAAGGTCTACAGGAATTGCGTTATCTGGTTCTCTCGACGCGCGTTGAAGCAGACGCCGATGGCATGGTAAGATCTACTTAATCTCAACTGGCGACTTGGATGCGCATATCAATCCACAAAACAAGCATGTCCACTAACTAATTTGCTGCGCGCCGCCAGTCTACCTATCGAGTATACCTCTGGCTCGTCCTTCTCGATACGCCCCCCGTTTCGACCGACGAATACCTCTCCCTCATTCACCGAGGTCGTTCCCCCGCCTATGCTAAGATCCGCAATGATACCTTTCGCACACTGGCCACCGATCCCCTTTTCAAACGGCGCGTCACGGAAGCCAGTCTAATTCGACTCCTCAACGCCGTCGCATGGAAGCTTCACGATGCGAAGAACAAGCCTCGCTCCCGTCCACGACTTTCGACCGGCCGCCGGCGCGAGATGGAGCTCCTCATCAACACACCTCCCAGCATAGCAGAAGAACCCTCCTTGACTGGGAGCACACCTGGCAGTGTGATCAGCAACAGCACCGGCAGCGCTTTCGGCAGTCCCGGCATTACCAATGAATCTGCCATCTACGTACAGGGAATGAACGTCTTATGCGCTCCATTCCTCTACGCCGCCCGCAGTGAGGTGGAGGCTTTCGCCCTCTTCCATTCCTTCATCCTCCGCGAATGTCCGGGCTACATCCGGGGAGCTATGGACGGCGTCCATCGGGGGTTGCGACTTGTCGATCGATGTTTGGAGATCGTCGAGCCCAAATTAGCAGCTTACCTCTTTTCCAAGGGTCTGCAGGCCGAGCTGTACGCATTTCCCTCCGTGTTGACCCTGTGTGCATGCACGCCCCCTCTCCCGGAGGTCCTGCACCTATGGGACTTCTTGTTCGCGTACGGGCCACACCTGAATATCCTATGCATTGTCGCGCAATTGATCCGCATGAGGGATGTGATCCTGGACAGCCCAAGGTATGTTTACCACCATGACCTCATGATAACATCACATCCTGAGATACCACCACAACAACACGAGGCTGGGGGGAGCAAGTATCATAAACAAATCTAACCTATCACCTACCTTGACCCCCCGTGTCTGACAAGGACCCATCAAGCTAATCCGTATCACGCACATGATAGTCCCAACAAAGTCCTCCGATCCTTCCCTCCCCTTGACGCCAAGGAGATCATCGCTTTGACCGTCTTGCTGGTTCGCAAAATCCCTGAACCGCTCTACGCCGAGTTAATCGACCACGCCAAATGAAAACTCGACTTTCACCTGTCCCACCCCACCCTTCAAAATGAGCTCTATCACCGAACCTCAGATACGATGCATCATTCCTTCTCCGCCTCCCTTTCCCCTTCCTTTTACCTTCTACTATCTACACCTATGATTATGATACCTCTCTTATCCTAACCCGCCCTAACCGACCTAGCCAAACACATATGATACCTGCTGCCATGCCATGAGTTCCGACGAGATGAGACGACTATTCCTGCCTGTTTGTTTGTTTGTTCATTTATTTGTTTTTCCACTTCTGGTGTTTCTTCTCCACACCCCCACCCAAAACAAAACCTATACCTTCTACCCTAAGTAATTGATTGGAATCAAAGGATCTTATTCCTTTTCGGTCTGTACTTTTATCTTCTTTCTCTCTTTCATCCCCCTTCCTGCATCTTGCATGTCTGTCGCATTTGAGTTCCCGTATGCTGTCATGACCCATGACCAATCCGATACTAACTAACTAACTTTATATGTACTGTATTATTCTTGCTTGGGGGGGG